CTACAACCACTAGGTCCAACACACCCCACTCACCTGCAATCACGAGGTCCAACACACCTCCACTCACATACAACCACTAGGTCCAACACACCTGCACTCACCTACAACCACTAGCTCCAACACATCTACACTCACCTACAACCACTAGGTCCAACACACCTCCACTCACCTTCAACCAAAAGGTCCAGCACACCTCCACTCACCTGCAACCCCTAGGCCCACCACACCTGCACTCACCTTCAACCACTAGGTCCAACACAACTGCACTCACCTACTACCACTAGGTCCAACACACCTCCACTCATATACAACCACTAGGTCCAACACACCTGCACTCACATACAACCACTAGGACCAACACACCTCCACTCACCTACAACCACTAGGTCCAACACACCTTCACTCACCTACAACCACTAGGTCCAACACACCTCCACTCACCTACAACCACGAGGTCCAACACACCTCCACTCACCTACAACCACTATGTCCAACACACCTCCACTCACCTACAACCACTAGGTCCAACACACCTCCACTCACCTACAACCACTAGGTCCAACACACCTCCACTTACCTGCAACCACGAGGTCCAACACACCTCCACTCACCTACAACCACTATGTCCAACACACATCCACTCACCTACAACCACTAGGTCCAACACACCTCCACTCACCTACAACCACGAGGTCCAACACACCTCCACTCACCTGCAACCACGAGGTCCAACACACCTGCACTAACCTACAACCACTAGGTCCAACACACCTGCACTCACCTACAACCACTAGGTCCAACACACCTCCACTCACCTACAACCACTAGGTCCAACACACCTCCACTCACCTACAACCACTAGGTTCAACACACCTCCACTCACCTACAGCCACTGGGTCCAACACACCTCCACTCACCTACAACCACTAGGCCCAACACACCTCCACTCACCTACAACTACTAGGTCCAACACACCTGCACTAACCTACAACCACTAGGTCCAACACACCTGCACTCACCTACAACCACTAGGTCCAACACACCTCCACTCACCTACAACCACTAGGTCCAACACACCTCCACTCACCTACAACCACTAGGTCCAACACACCTCCACTCACCTGCAACCACTAGGTCCAACACACCTCCACTCACCTACAGCCACTGGGTCCAACACACCTCCACTCACCTACAACCCCAAGGTCCAACACACCTCCACTCACCTACAACCACTAGGCCCATCACACCTCCACTCACCTACAACCACTAGGTCCAACACACCTCCACTCACCTGAAACCACTAGGTCCAACACACCTGCACTCACCTACAACCCCTAGGTCCAACACACCTCCACTCACGTACAACCACGAGGTCCAACACACCTGCACTCACCTACAGCCACTGGGTCCAACACACATCTCCACTCACCTGCAACCACTAGGTCCAACACACCTCCACTCACCTGCAACCACTAGGTCCAACACACCTGCACTCACCTACAACCACTAGGTCCAACACACCTCCACTCACCTACAACCACGAGGTCCAACACACCTCCACTCACCTACAACCACTATGTCCAACACACCTCCACTCACCTACAACCACTAGGTCCAACACACCTCCACTCACCTACAACCACTAGGTCCAACACACCTCCACTTACCTGCAACCACGAGGTCTAACACACCTCCACTCACCTACAACCACTATGTCCAACACACCTCCACTCACCTACAACCACTAGGTCCAACACACCTCCACTCACCTACAACCACGAGGTCCAACACACCTCCACTCACCTGCAACCACGAGGTCCAACACACCTGCACTAACCTACAACCACTAGGTCCAACACACCTGCACTCACCTACAACCACTAGGTCCAACACACCTCCACTCACCTACAACCACTAGGTCCAACACACCTCCACTCACCTACAACCACTAGGTTCAACACACCTCCACTCACCTACAGCCACTGGGTCCAACACACCTCCACTCACCTACAACCACTAGGCCCAACACACCTCCACTCACCTACAACTACTAGGTCCCACACACCTGCACTAACCTACAACCACTAGGTCCAACACACCTGCACTCACCTGTAACCACTAGGTCCAACACACCTCCACTCACCTACAACCACTAGGTCCAACACACCTCCACTCACCTACAACCACTAGGTCCAACACACCTCCACTCACCTGCAACCACTAGGTCCAACACACCTCCACTCACCTACAGCCACTGGGTCCAACACACCTCCACTCACCTACAACCCCAAGGTCCAACACACCTCCACTCACCTACAACCACTAGGCCCATCACACCTCCACTCACCTACAACCACTAGGTCCAACACACCTCCACTCACCTGAAACCACTAGGTCCAACACTCCTGCACTCACCTACAACCCCTAGGTCCAACACACCTCCACTCACGTACAACCACGAGGTCCAACACACCTGCACTCACCTACAGCCACTGGGTCCAACACACCTCCACTCACCTGCAACCACTAGGTCCAACACACCTCCACTCACCTGCAACCACTAGGTCCAACACACCTGCACTCACCTACAACCACTAGGTCCAACACACCTCCACTCACCTGCAACCACTAGGTCCAACACACCTGCACTCACCTGCAACCACTAGGTCCAACACACCTGCACTCACCTGCAACCACTAGGTCCAACACACCTCCACTCACCTACAACCACTAGGTCCAACACACCTTCACCTTGGCGTTGACATCTTTTCCGCAGACCAAACCGAGACGTTTTTTTTTGCCCCGACCCACTTTGTAACCTCGCCATCTCTGACCCGTGGGTCCCGGTGCAGTTGCCACTGCCTGCTAACCCGATGAGTGTACAGGCTGCAGATGTACAGCGGCGGTAACGCAAGAAGACCACTATAATGAGAATATAATTTTCATGAAGGAAACAGCCGTATCTATTCTTGCGTATGCCAATATGTTCAGAAGCTAAATGTTGGTGATGTCGAGGTCTACCTAAGACACAACGAATGCCGTCGTCTAGGCGAAATTTACTTGGTTAATTTGAATCCAGGTGTGATCAGTGGAGCTAAATACCAAAAAGCCCTTCGGAGGGCCTGAAAACAATCAGACGAGGTCATCCAGTGAACCAAGTAATCATCGAAGGCCTCTTCAAGACCTCAAAGTGACTTCCTGACCGGAAATATAAGAACACAGCTTGTGCACAACGAGGCAAACTAAGCCCGTGATTGTTCTCAAATGACCACGTTTTGTTACCAAAGCAGGAATGTTTGCACGGCGCTCCAGTGGCGCAAATCGTTGGTAGGGCGGTGCCGGTGTCACAGTGATGGTGGGAGTCGGGGTGGGGGGGTTAGAATGGTGCCTTGGGTCCAGCTACAGTGATAGCCCGTTATTAATGTTTAGAACTTGGCCACCTGAGTTACATTCTCGGTCACGGCCAACATCAGTGGCGAATGATATCTGAACTGGGGGCTTGCTCCCGATCCTTCGCCAGCATACAATGACCAGCACGGAGCAGCACGGAGCAGTACGGCACAGGCAAACAACCCCCATGGCTGACGTGCCATTGGAAGGGCCTTCATCCATAAGTATGTTGAACTTCTTTCGCACCATACGTAGTCAACTTTGCTAATCGTAGGTGCGGGGAAAGGAGAGCTACTGTAAACACAAGAAGCATTTCCAGCATTCGATTAATAAAGGGCTATGCGTTATTATTATTATTTAAAATGCATTATTTACGTGAGAATAGGTTTTCCCCTTTTTTCTGGCAACAAAACAGGTGTTAAGATGTTAAACACCAAACTGAAACCTTTTACAAGGAATCATGTCTGCATTAACCACAATTCTTGTGGTCAGAATGCAAACAAAAAAACATCCTCTGATAATAATGCATTGTCTTTGAAACTGATTGGTCCACACCAGAGACAACTTTCTTTTTAGCCTCGTCTCAAAAGGTGTTCGACCAGAGGACGCCAAAAGGCGTACAGCCCAAAGACAACGCACTATCAGAGTAATGAGAGCTCGGGGTGAGCTTGTGTTGCCAGAACAAAGGGGAAAACCTATTCTCATGTTTTGGTATTGGCAGAGGAGGCCCCATGATGCATTATTTACGTGAGACATTAATATAGGTCATGTACAACAATTTGGCTCAACAATGTCACTTGGAGGGACACAACTGGACAACACAACATAGTTTGTGGACCGAGGAGAGCTGTTCATTTCGGACGGGAGTCAAACTGATGAAACACAGAGGTAGTGCGAGAAGAGTTTGGCGTGCTTTTGGAAAGCTGAACTTGACGGTGAAAAGTAAACGAGCAAATGTGGCCAAAGAAGAAAGTTTTCGATCGGCGCGCAAGGAAAACGACCTCTGTTGTGTCAAAACTGTTTGCGTGCACTCTCACAACGCCGACAACACTCAGGGAAGCCTCAACCGTCCGTACCTTGACAAGCCCAACGAGCGTGTTCATTCACGTACCTTACGCGTGTACCTCGACGAAAAACACATGACATAATTGCAAAATACGTTACCGCAATTCAAGTAATTATCAAAGCGTTTGTATCCATCAGAAGGCCCCAACATCATCGTGGTGGTGGGAGACAGCCTCTCCACGGGACAGGGAGTGTTGACTTCCCACAAAGCGGCAATCGTTTTATCGACCCTGGACGGACGATGGGCCGAGTTGACCCCCTGGGACCAGGATTTGATCCCCTAGGACCGACCAGGATTTGACCTCGCGTCCTCTGATCACGGTGAATCATTGCCACCTCTCGAACCAGGAGACTTTGGCTCAGTGCTGCAAACTTTGGGCATCGGGCCCACCCAATCACCCAACCACTTCGATTATCATGATTATTGAAGGAAGCAGCTGACTTGAGCCGGAGGGGCATGAATTAGCGGGGGGGGGGGGGGGGGTGGAGTCAGCTCTAACCCCACCGCAGCTGCCTTTATAAACAACGCATCCGCGGGCGGGCAAACCACCCCGGCACCGCGGCCGTCCGGGACGGGCCAGCTGCCCGCTACGCGCCAGCTCCCACATCCCTCGAGAATCCGACAGGCGAAAAAACGTGAGTACTGTACAACAGACTTCGGCAAAGAAAGCACAACGTAGTTGCAATTGGCAATTTGATCTGTTTGTGGAAAAGCGTGGAAATGATGTGACCTCGCAATGAAATGTTCGTAAAGTTAAACGCGCATGGCAACCTACCAACATAGCGGCCCGCGTCGATTTAGTTTTAAGCATGGGTTTAAGGTGCGCTCACAAATCCACCGCACCTGGCCATGAACAATCTGACCCCACCGTTGACAAAGAGTTCTCAGATGCGCACTTACACGTCGCATGACGAGGAGAGCGGGTGGCAGCCAAAAAGCAAAATCGCGACCATAGCCCGAAGCGCAAGTTGCGCGCACAGCAGATGTCACGAGCGGCGGGACGCGACCCACGCGTGCGCCCCGGGTTCTGGCTGCCAGCCGAGGGAGCGTTGGGGTCTTGACCGAGGGTGGCCGACACCAGCACCAGCAGCAGCAGCAGCAGGAGGAGGAGAAACGGCAGCGGCCAAGGTGCCCGCGAGCGAGACGCGCTGCGACCCCGAGCGTTAGCCGCACGGTCATCGCCGGAGCGGGCTGATGTGCCAACAACAGCGCTGGTTTGGTTTCCCACGTGACCGTTTATTTTACGAGACATGAACCGTACGTAATCGGATCACGGGATGGGAATACTTTGCCGTTGTCATCACGACCACTGTTTTGTCGCTGCTGTAATGTATATGAGAGAACTTGCAGGGCATCGGGGAACCTTTTTGAGGACACTGCCTAAAATGTTGACTTATTATTATTAAATCTCGTAGCTTTCAGGCAGTATTTGTCAGTGGTGATGATATTGATGGAAACTTGTATTGGCCTGTGTTCCACTGGAGTAGCATGTTTTGCATGGACCCTGGTGCAAATAATAAAATGCCCCCCCTTCCCCCCCCCCGATTGAATTGCCACCGTCTTTGTAGGCAGGGACATTGTCCCTCTGGCCGGTGGGCCCTGGGTGCAGTTGCACATCTTGCACACTCAACAGCCACACCACTGCTGCTATATTCCCATACCATCGCGAATACAGCTCCTGAAATACAGTGGCCATTGTAAACAGGTCACACTTGCTGTGTTGAGCTGCATACACGAGACCCACAACACAGGGCTCCTCCATACACTGGGGTGGCGGGGAGAGCAGCTGCCGCTGCCCTCTGCTCTCTACAATGCCATGCCCATAAATACTTCATAACCTTATTTAAGTCACTTTTTCTGAGTTCGGAGTGCCTTTCTTCTGGCCACCCACACTGCACCACTTAAGACAAATCCCCCGTTCGAATGTAGGATAAATGCCCTCCTCTTCTGACTATGATCAACTCCATTTAAAGTTAATTATATTTGCTTTTCTTTAATAACGTAATCTCAACTCCGTCTCTGGCTTGTAGCATTCTATCCACCAATCCCTGCTATAGTAAGATATAAGAAAAACGTTTCGCTGGCTGGAGGGAGGGCGGTACGGAGGGACATACGGACAGACGGTCACATCCAAAGGATGTACGGGCAGCTAGTAATAATAACAAAACACCTTCAAACGCTCTTGGTGTCCATGTTTCCGGTCATCACGAGGAATATACAACTGTGGTCGTATTTGCATGCTTTCAGGAATGCTAATTTAAATTGCAGCCATCAACATTTTAACAAAAAAACTCTTCCTAAAGCCACGCTGGATCTCCTCGGTGTCGAGATCTATTCTTGGAAACAAGCGTACACCGTCAAGTGCTTGCATGCCAAGTAGCTTCACAGCTTATCGCAGGGCGGTCATGATGTCATGATGCCAAGGGACCGGTTTGCCTGGTTAGTCTAAGCAAGGCCACTGTTGAGACAATATTACAGATTAAATAGAAACCACAAAATATTTGCACAGCCACAGGCAACCCCATTACAATAAAGAGTATCATAGCAAGATACCAAACAAATGAATTGTATTAACTATGCTCGAGTCAAAATGCCAACTTATAACTCCATTAAATCACTAAAGCCTCATTATAACAAATTCCAAACAACTCGAGTAAAATGTCCCACCGCGATCGGTGTTCAAGATTTGGGATAATGCCCGTTGTTCTCATTGATCTCAAGACGATGAGGATGCGCACGTGCGAGGAACACGGTGGCCACTTTTAAACGAATCGTGTTTCGAGAGTCGGCACTGGGTGTCAAGGATTCTGCGAGCCTGCGGCTGGCATTGCCACTCACCGACAATCTCGGCACTCGCAGTACATTCACCGCACACGTCTCGCACATTTATTTTGAGTTAAATTCTCGGTTCATGAACGGGATGTTCACGTCTCATTTTGTACATTGCTTACTTTTTTTTAAAAAATATTCTCTCTGAAAACGTTAATCACACAAAATAAACATTTTAATATTTTTTTGGTTTCCTTTTCAGCGTAAACAATCCCAGGGGGGAAAAAAACACTGTTCCAAATTGGCCATGATATAGGTGGTCTTGGCAGCTGTAGGTACAGTACACAATTGCATTTGCATTTTACGACCGTATAATACGTTTTTCCACAAAAATGAGTTACGAGTGACATCCAGGCGCTGCTGCTGCTGCTGCTGCGGCGGCGGTGGCTTGGTTTCTGTGCCACAGAGAGCGGCCTCAGGAGGTGGGAGCTCCCGGCTCATCAGCAATCCCGGCGTCCGCGAGCAGTGGAAAAGTGCCGAGTGGTAAGAGCCTCCAACGTGCCCTTTCCACGCGTGAAACGGATGCATCGATTAAGCGGTGAAAATCAGCTCTTCCGCTTACATGTAAGCTAATGGGGCAGAGAAGATGGCACGTACAAAGAAGGTACAACAAACAAAAAAATACATTTATCCAGAGAATGGTGAAAGTGAGGCAAAGATAAAATGGTTCTGAAATGGAACCATGGTTCTGAATCATGACACTGGTGGGGGGTGATAAATCGTCCCTCACCTAGTTATTGCAGTTCCTTACATATATTTTCAAGCCACCCATTCGTCTTGATTTTAGTTATGTTTTTGACTCGCGAGTAAAAAAAAAATTTACCCGTAAGTATTGATTTGTCGACCTGTCTCAACCGATTTATAGTTTTGTTCAATGTACACTTTGTTTCTCTTTGCCGTGTGGTTCTGTGCTTTCTTTTGGAGGAGCAGAGAGGTTCCCGATGGCATCCGAAACTTCTGACGGGCTCACTGCAGCTCGGCCTCCGTGCAGGCCCGGTAGCAGAGCTATCGGGGAAGCACCAGACAGAGTAGAAGTCGGAGAAATCGGAGCCGTCACACGCGGGGAACGTGCCCCCGAACAAGCCCAGAAGTTGGAGAGCAACGCAGACTCTTCAGCGACACATGGGGAGCGACGCCTGAATCCGCGGGTTGAAGAATTCCTTCTTCCAGGGTTGGACAATAAGCCAGAAGTGAGCCAAGTGTGGCAAATCGAGATGCAACAGGCGCAACCGATCCTACCAAACGGGTATCACTTGGAGGTGAAACTTCTAATCGTTAAAACAGAGGTAACGAGTGATATATCAGACTGTAGCTATGAAATACACAATTGGGTGGTTCTTTTGACCAAAGTCGAAACGGCAGCCAAATACAACGGGGAAGGCGACACCATTAGCACGACAAATAGAGATGTGCAAGTGATTGTTACTGTTAAAGATAACAAGGTCGACAGGGCAGTAACAATCAAGCACCCACTGAAAGGAGGAGTCAGACTTGCAAATGCTGACCAAAACACAACCGACGTAGGAGCTGAGGATGTTGATGTAGTGACAGGAGTTTTCCCACCGGGTTTCGGACGTGGCACCGGCACAGAGAAAACAGAACAGCTTGAAAACCCGCTCACTTTCCCAAAGATGGAAACTGAAACGAATCACAACAAATTGACCGAAGCGCCGGTTAATGGAAGCACTTTGGCCGAACGTAATTCAAGGTCCGCGATAAAAGCCGCAAATGAAGCGGCCGGTGAAGTTCACGAAAGCGCCCGCGAGATTCCAAAAGCGCTGCAAGCGGTGCCCTCCAATGCCTCCGAGAAAGCCACAGCCAGCGACGCAGCAGAGGGCACCGGGAGCAGGGCTCCACAGTTGGGTGGCGCAGAGAGCGCACCATTATTAAGCTCCACGTCTCCGGAGCAGCGGCGCAGAGCGGTGCGGCGAGAACAGGTCGTAAAAACAGCCATCGCGCCTCCGCCAAGTACGGCGGGGCGCGGCGGGCCTCCTGTTCAAAACGGGGATCGCGCCAAACCGAGGCGAAACACGCAGCCAAAATACGAGGATGTGACAAACGAGGGGCCGAAGCTCAACGCGGGTGCCCACCGGGCAGAGGCAACCGCTCCGGCAGCCGAGAATGTAACTCCCGAAGGCAAATCTTCAAAAGACGACATTAAAGACGTCTGCATTGGCATCCTTCACCGGGTGGACGACACAAACGTAGGGAGCAAACAGTCCATTGCTGCCGGTGCTCGTGGCGCCGACCAGGAGAGTAATTGGGGGGCAATTGAAGTGGCAGAATCTGGGACCCCTGCCAGTAAAGTCACGCAGAGGAGCAAACCTACTGTTGCAGTTGAGGAGGCATCGCCAGCTTGTGGCGGTGTTCCAAATAAAGCATCGCACACGTCAAGCGAAGGAACGCACAGGCGTGATGGAGAGAAAGCGCTGGGTGTGCTGGAATCAAAAGATAAAATAGGGGTGCCAAAAACGGGCGAAATTAAAGAATCAGCCGAGCAGAATTGCAATAACGTAATGAGAACTGACGACGATGCCATGGAAAGACGCAGCTTCGACGAATCCAAACAGATGGAGAATGGTTCCATTTCCATTTCACCCGAGTCACCACCTTTTAAGACACCAAAGCAATCAACCACAATGCAGAGCGGTGTCCAAGTGGCATTGCCCGAACTAGCCCCAAAACAAGATGTCGCTCAGGGCAGTGATGAAGTTAAAACCGATAAAAGGGTCCCTTTGCTGTCAAACACCACTCTCACAGAGACCAAAGGCAACATCTGGTCTGAGGAGGCTATTTCCGAAGCCACCACAGATGTGTCAGCCCATGGAATCACCCCGGCTGACGTCCATTGCAGAGACACGGAAGCAAAACCCAAAAAAGGATTCTTTTCAATTTTCTCTTTTGAAAAAGAAAAAAAGTCACGTCAAACAGCGGCAACAAATGCAGCCAATAATAAGCCAAACTCTACGAGCAAAAATGAATGTTCTGCAGCCACAGCTGCAGAAAGGAATGCTGAATTAATGGCCATAAAACCTGACGAGGATGTGCATGGGACGGCGGGAAAAGGTTTGAACTCGGTAGATTTCACCGACACACAGCAGAACTCGTGCCACCCTGGAGTCCCGTTAGAAGCGGCCAACACACTGGCATCATCAGCTGGTGGTCCTGCATTTTCTACGGATATTCCTACACAGAAAAGTCACGAAGATTCCATCGATACAGCCAAGGAGCGTGAAGAAAATGCAAAAGTCACCTCTGATAACGTGGTGCACGGAACAGATGGTGGGTCTGAACTTTTCCCATGTGACGAGTCAGTGGGCGAGCCTCTAAACGCGCAGTCCCAACTCTGGCCCCGAGTAGAAGAGGCCTCTTCTGATGGTGCTGCAGCTGAAAAAGAGAGCCCTGGAGGACTGACCATGGAAAAACCTCCCGAGAAGCGATGGGGGTTCTTCTCGTTTTTTCCCTTCGCCAGGTCCACCTCGAACAGCACACCCCCACAGAGCCCACAGCCGGGCTCAGACATGGCCCAGGAGGTGTGCGGAAACACGGTTCAAAGCAGCGCCGATTTACAAGGCAGCCCTGATGATGGTACAACCCCCAGCACCGCATGGCCAAGTACGAACCAGAAAATAACAGTGACACTCTGAAGGAACAAAATCAGCAGCATTCCGAGAATTCATCGACTGATACAGAACAGCCAGAGATTGACAATGCAACCGCGATGTCTCGCGAGGGCACCTCCGATAAAAACACGCGGCGGGAGGTAATGACAGCCGTGTCGGGGGGCAATGCAAGGAGAAGTAGAATGCCGAGATGCAACTCGAGCAGACTCGGAAGCCCCAGGTGAACCCATTCCTTTCAAATGCAGCGCTCGCACAGCAAAGTCTGAAGCGGAGGCAAATATCGAAAAACCCATTGACAGGGGTTCCGACAAATCAAGCAGCCCAGAAGAGCCACAGGTTGCCGAAACAATCAATGAAAACGCTGCAGTTAAATCTTCCGACAAGACATCTGCGACTGGACCGGAAGGCAAGGCTAGCAGAGGCTTCTTTACACTGTTTTCCTTCAGCAAGTCCACCAGTAAATCGGATGTTTCTGAAACAGAAGAACACACGAACCCACCGGTGAGCTGCAGCGAAGAGGAGCTACTGGGAGAGGGAGAATTCCTCGCCGCGGGCAGCCCGATGGACGAGGAAAAGAACGGGACACCGGTGGGTACGAGCCAAAACAAGAAGACATCCAGTTTCTGGTTCTTCCCTGATATTGGCTTCACAGAACCCAAACCGGAAGAACCGACGAGTTAAAGCAATTAGGTTACAGTCCATCATTGCGGCAATGTATTCCCGCCCCTCCGATTCACAGTTGGCCACGTACGGTGTGAAATAAGTTCCAACATACATACAATATGTAGGCTAATGATGTTTGATGGGGTTTTTAAAATTATAGTTTGTTACAATATATGAAGTTGCAAAAAATGATAGTTTTTTTCGGGAAAATATATCATTATTCTCTATCCACTGCTGGTTGAAGGCCTCCCCCTCACACCATTGCCTTTCCTCACGCCATCCCCCACAGCCCAGTACCACTGCAGTGATGAAGGATGATTACAATCTGTCGACTGGGAACTGTTTACGTACATTTTTTTAAGCCCACAGCTTGATACCATTCAACATGTAACTAATATCATGGCAGGACCTCCTTTGCCAGGACCAAAATATCATAATCATGATAATATGATAAAACCGTTTGAGACGAGGCTCAAAAGAAAGCTATCTCTGGTGTGGGCCAATCAGTTTCAATGACAATGCATATATTATCAGAGTATGTTTTTTGTTTGCATTCTGACCACAAGCATTGTGGTTAATGCAGACATGATTCATCGTAAAATGTTTCAGTTTGGTGTTATAACATCTTAACACCTGTTTTGTTGCCAGAAAAAAAGGGGGAAAACCTATCATCATTTAACTAAACGTCGTATACTTAAAACGTGTCCTGGCAAGTGCATCGTAAGTCATGCATGATAAGTGAATTCCGAGTCAAATATCTTCTCAATACCAAATTCCCAACGTGAGCATATACAAGCAGCCATTCGAAATGCAAGCTCTGGAGTGAGTCTGCACGTGTGTGTACGCATGCGTATTTACCAATCTCCAGGGCCGCAATGATGCGACTCCCCTGGTGATTTGATGCACTGCATCGGTAACGATTCAATTCTTCAATCAAATTGTATGTGGGGTTGGGGGAGTGGTAGTTGCCCTCATGATAGCAAATGGGAGTGAATTTATTTAAGATTAATTCTGGAAAAGAAAATGCATCACTTTTTACCTCTGTAATGTTCCGATATGTTCCACTCTCGATAGGCAAGACATTTGCATTGCTATAAATGTGTAAGGCATTAAAACGTGTGCTCTTGCCACGCATAAAGAAAACATCCTTCGCAAATTAACATGCAATAATAAATCATGCCATTTTGCAAGCATCAATACCAAATTTGGTAAATATTTTGTATTTTATCAACATCGTCAAACCCCTGCCGGTTGAAGGACTCCTTAAGGCATTGCTTTGTATTTTATGCCTGTCAAAAATGAAAGAATATCGTGTCTGCATTAGATTTCGAAACACCTTCAATATTCAATCTGCTTCTCGACTCTGTGAATGATTTTTTGAGATGCCTGAATGCTTTATATGCAGAGGCTATTTCATTAATAGGTTTAATATGCATGCACTGATTCAGAATAATAATGTATCTTACATTGTGCTTTGTGTTTCACTACTTTGTTTTTATCCTGTTTTAGTTTCTCTTGGAAATTACATTATTCACATGGGCTCTCAAATAGTTTTACATAAAGAGTAATAGTTTATTGATATGGAAATCATGTATGACACTGACCCACTGTATTGCAATGCTTGTTGACAACTGGCAGTTCAACCCAATAACCAGCATTTACCATGGTCTTTTCATAGTAATACTAATAATTATTCAACCTGTAACGTGCCACAGTATTTGCTCACTCGCAACGAGAATGAGACGGTGAGAGCCAGAACCAAATACCTCCAAGCTCTGTGGTCCTCTTTGTAATGTGTTATTGGCCAATTAATATATTTTTTACACGTGTGAGAAAACCCACAACATGTGTGGGGGGGGGGGGGGCAACACTACCCAATGTCAGTGTGTTGAACTTCTTTCGCACCGTACGTAGCGAACCGTGATAATCGGTGGTGCGGGAACTAATCGGAGATGGAACAGGTGGAGTTCACATTTGCCGTACCGTATTCTCCTGGCAAGCCATGGTATGGCACCTCGACACCCACGGGAATGGAGTTTTACAACATTTATATGAGCCACCAACGCTTGCCTCCACAGCGATGGATTACATGCGCATGCGACCACCGCCCAGAGAGAATATTTATGTCCAATCACAGCTCTTAGCATTTTTCCTTGACAGGCCCTTCAGATGTCAGAGTTCTATGTCAAGAGCACTGCAGCATATTTATAAGATAGGGTATGACTTCTGCTCATCTTTATCTACGAACTAAAATTTTTATATGTAGTTTGGCTTCAATTCACAAAAAAAATCAAAACCATTTTAAGATGTACAATGTTTATTACCCAAGTTTCAATGTAATTATCAGACAAAATGTATACATTTTAACAAATACTCGCCAAAAACTTGATGAAGTACATAATACATCTAAGTGCACATCTGCACCCTCGTTCGCCAATACCGAAATTAAGGCTTGCCGAATAAGTCAAGTGTAATAGATACAATTATAGAAGAAAAAAGCACAAAACAGATGATAACATTTTACATTTCACATCATATCCGTGAAATCTTAAACGTATTGAGTCCAGTGAACACCTTCCATCGGTATCCTGCAGGTGATCTCGGCACCTGCCGCATCATCATCAGGGCATCCCGGTGTAGGGCAGCTTCATTGGGTAGATCGGCCCGTAGCGATCCTTGTGCCAGAGCAGCTTGCGTTCAAGGAAGCGCACTGTGTCAACTGTGAGCACCAGCGTGTGGTACTTCAGCATGCTGTACACGTTCAGCCCTGCAACATGACGGTGTGGTAAGCAGGGGTGCACGACATCAATCGTCCATGACCAACGACAACTTTGGGCGTGCACAGCCACCACCGCCATCGCGCAGACTGCCATGTCAGCATTTAAAAAAGACATTAAAAACTAGATTACCTGGCTGTCCAGGCTAAATGGGTTTAGGCTCGGACGTTTCTTTTATCGTCTGGGTCTTTTTTTAAGGCTATTTCAAGTGTGCTATAAAATAGCTTACCCAATGCAGGCATCACAGTGATGGTCTTCAGTTTTTCTGTTGCCTCCAGGATATTCTCTGGCATCTGTTCATTCCTACAAAAACATTCAAAGTAAACAATCATTGCGTTCATGGTCTTCACTTACGGCTTTATATACACAATCCTTCATTGGACATTAGTTAATTGTTTAAAAAAAAAAACTCACGTAAACAATCTGTCATTGTGTTTTGAATGTCCCACATTTTAAGCAGTTGTATCGTGGTACTGTTAAAACGACGCTGAAGTGAGACGTAACGAAAACGAAGAACGATCACAAAGGCACATCTCTCGTGGCACTCACACGTCCACGATGAGGACGGAGTCGCCCCATTGTCTGTACTCCGCCAGGTCGAGCAGGTACTGGGGGTCGGCCGTGGGTATGTCCAGGGAGTCCACGATGTGCAAGTCATCCTGCGCATACATCATTTCTGTAGAACTGATTTTTGTGTTTAGTTGTCCTTCACCCGCACCTTCGATTAGCACAGTTGGCTAAGTACGGTGCGAAAGCAGTTCAACATACGTACGTACATCATGCACCGACACCATCATTTTATTTAAAGCACACCTCGAGCTCTGTATGACCCTTTGTCAATCCAATGCCGGATGAGGGCCTCTCCACACCATGTGGGTCATGGGGGTTATTTAACCCATGCCTGTCAACCCCTTATCAATGCCTACCTTATTACAGACCAATTTAGACCTTATTGGTCACCCTGTGCCCTTATACATCTCAACGTTCATCCTACAAATTCCAATCACAAGGGAGAGGCACAAACAAATAGACAAAAACAATGGGTTTTTTGCCCGTATTGAAATGGCTATATGTCGTATGGACCTGAAAACTCAATTTCCCTGTACAAGAATATGGGTAAACCATGTGGGTTGACAGGTATGTTAACCATACTTCACCATTCTGGCCAGTGTGGAATGTTGAAGGTAGGGAATATAGTCGTAGGAGCAGAGCCACAGCACAATGGATTTTGTTGCACTGCCGACCCACATTGCATTATTCAACCCCAATTACTCTTATATAACTGTTTCAAGTATCAATAGGAAAGCAATGCCTCTGTCGAACGAAGCGGACCGTACCTGTGCGTGCTTTACACTGAGGGCAACTGTGAGGCCCTTGACGCGAACCTTCATAGGAAGCATGTAGTAGTAACTGATCGGGCCCCGAGGGCCGTGCGCCACGCCACCTGCCGCACACGGTGTCGCATCACATTAACCAAATGCCACCTCACACCACTGCGCACCACTGGCGAGAACTAACACAGGACGAAGAAATGCGTCAGCCACACGTGCTTTCAAGATCACACCACCAAACTGCATCACCGTGCTGCATCAGCGAGCGCTAACACAAAGGCACAAGCGTGCCATCCTCACCTCCTTTCCAGATCGGGGACCGGATGCTGCCGTGCCGTGCGCGTCCGCTGCCCTTCTGATTCCACGGCTTGCGACCACCGCCACGCATCTCAGCGCGTGTCTTCGCTTTCGCGTAGCTCTGTGAATGTTGACAGGTCACACGTGTGCTGAGGGCATCGATGTAGCCACAACCAGTAAGCTGAACAGTATCTCTGGCGCTACTGTAAATGCGTACAACATGGGTGCTGGAAAATTTTTTTTATAAACTGCACGCATATTAAGTTTATATTTGCTGCGAAATAGAGCACTCACAATCCTCTTGAAAGTCTTCTGCCATATTAAGACTTGATGTAGGATGTCAAGCCTAATGAGAAAACAGAATGTTAAAAATGTTAATAGCAGAAATACATGAACAAAAACACCATTACGAATTATGACAGTCCCCGTATGGGTACAAAAGACTACACCAGCTGACCTCAATGAGCCATTCTTTTAATATAACTGGTTGCATCCCTCCTGACTTTCCACACTAATTTCCGTGAATTGCATTGGCTCAAAATTCACAAAACTTGATGACAACTCAGATGCTCTTTAAAGTTTAACAGAGACATTTAGCACAATGTACAATTTAATAAGGAGTGGATCTGTGACAAAGTGGTTCCCACACTGCACTATGAACCTGATGACTACATTTAATCCCAGGCCATGGCTGAAATCAGTGCCAAGTGTATCTGTACCAACTCACACTGCGTGAAGTAAAAACAACCCCCATGACAAGAACGGATTGACAAAGAGCTATAAATACAATATAACAATTTAATAACCACCAACAGAATATGTGAACTCAACACATTGGTCATGCATATTGCCTTAAAAGAAAAAGTGCATATTAAGTGACATTTTTGGCAATGGCTCGTGATTTAAATATGAAGGGCCATCGGCAAAAACGTTGCCTATTTTTCATTTTAAGGCAATTTTATTGATGTGTAGAATTTTTTGTTATTTGTACTTAAGCACAACTGCCAACACAGTATCACCACATAAATTACCGGATGGCAATAGCGTCTAACAGCAAATACTGCTTCACCAATCAATGCACAAAAATCGCACGCAATGGGACAAAGTGTATTTGCGTCACTGTGTGCGCCACAAGAAGAGCGAGGAATGGGGCCGCACCGTGGGGGGACACCGAACACGTCCGGGTGGAGTTCGACGAGGCCCAACTGATCGACATCAAAACCGCGCAGAGACTCCAGCCATGCCTGGCGCATGGGCGCATACACGGGGGCGGCCACCTCGCAGGGCCACACCACAGACTCTTTGGTAGAAAGGGTGGAACGACACGCGCACAAGATTGAGTCTACGCACATGCTTTCTAAAATATAACCTAAATAAATTAGTAAAAAAAGACGGATTATTTAACACAATGCATCATTTGGTTTTTAGTAAGAACATCAAATATGGCACACACAGACGCCTTAAATGTAAAGAATTAAATTAAACTTTGAAGAGTTAAAAATGGAAAAACACATTCTCACCAAAAAAAATGGTCAGCCTATTCTCTTTGAAAAAGTTGTAATTATGAGATAAACATATCAGTGACAAAAAACAAAATTTCCTTTCCCATAAAGGCAGAACTGAAATGACAGCAGGAATGGGCTTCATGGGAAACTGCCAAGGCTGTCATTCCGTGGAAGGAAGTTGTCACAGCTCATCATTCTCTTCTAAAGGGTAGCCTATGGCAGAAAGTGACTCAGTCGAAATTATTCTCTCCCACAAATTGCAGGAGCAATGTCTGGCAATTAGTGGCCTCGTTCATTTCAAGGGGCATTACTGTTCTTTCCAATGCTATAATTCCTAGCAAAAAAACAGCATAATTTTTGCTTGATTTTAGAATACCAATCAAAGATGCATTTTTTTTATCCGAGCTCCAGGTGGGCAACTAACATGTAATAATCAAGCCTCTCCTACACTGTTGGGAACGCCTGTCATTGTAATTTACATGCTATTACCAATAAACAACAATGTTGTTACATTGGAAAAAAATATCTGAGTCAATGGAACACCTTTTGGACAAAATTACGTTTTCAAGAACACAAGTTTTATTTTGTATTTTTTTTACGTCCTTAACAGATGCATGTAGCCTGGGCTTCATATAAACTTGGAAGTGTGTAGATCAGCGACTCGGAAAATATTCCCACACCCGACACACATAATCCATTATCGCTCTCCCTATGGCTATGGCTACTAGTCACATGCCTACACCAATCTACCAGCGACCCAGAATATCGTCCGTAATTACTGCCGTGCTTACAGTATTTTCCAGGCCAGAGAATTGTGAATTACTTGTACTCAAAAATGGGCTGTGACATAAAGTGTCACGGCTATTGGGGGTAACGAGGTTAATTGCAACTGTTTGCTCAACCAGACAGTAGAGTCAAGACAACATTGTCATTTCATGTCAGGCAAACGAATTCAGGTGGTCAGATTATAATACTTTAGAGCATAGATGCATTAATAATCGAGTACAACGGTTTCAGACCAGGTCCAATTAAAGTGCAAGCATCATGGATGGGTAGAAGGATTGGGGGAACACGTGGGTACCTGGGTGGGCTGCATGGCATAGGCTGGCGTGACTGACCACGGCAGGTAATTTTGGCCCCACTCCAGCCAACAGCAACTACATCGGCAAAAATAACAACACCACCAACAAAAACGTATGAGTTCATATGCACGGCTTGAATCTTGAATCAAGCCAACCCATCATTCTAGATTTGAAGCTTTCGTGACTGCAAGGATTCATACTCTTAGGTAATTCATACTCGTAGGTAAAAAATAAAATGAATAAAAATAAAAATCACGACGTTTCGGAGGCAACACAAGCCTCCGTCTTCAGGTGGAACCGTCACAGCACGATTGCTGTATCAAGTAAAGAAAAAAAACCTAAGAGTACCAACCCATCATACCACTAAGGTTCATAAATTGAGAAGATAAAAATTACAACCAACTCCACGACAGGTACGTGAAATGTACAATACTAGCTTGGTATGGCGATTAGCACCGTCAGATACTGGCCACTATGAAACGCCAGACACACCTAGGCACAGAGCTTGAAACCTGAGTGGTATGAGCTAAGTTTCTCCGACATGACCCCTAAACCACCAGGCCACCTCGTCGCGTCCACAACCTATCCCTCTACCCCTCGACTCATAACTCATTATCTCCACTCACCCCTGACCCCTCTCCACTCACTCCTGTATTCATAGCCCCCTGCGCTCTCTCCCATAACATTCCTCACCCTCTCATCTCACTCTCCGCCCTCTCCCTCACCATGCACGCTCTCTCTCTTCTCCACTCACCCTCCACCCTCTTCCCAACTCTCTCCCCTCACCACCTCTCCCCTCACCATGCACCCTCTCTCGTCTGACCCTCACCCTCTCTCCCCTCACCATGCACCCTCTCTCCCCTCACCCTCTCTCCCCTCACCACCTCTCCCCTCACCATGCACGCTCTCTCTCTTCTCCACTCACCCTTCACCCTCTTCCCAACTCTCTCCCCTCACCACCTCTCCCCTCACCATGCACCCTCTCTCGTCTGACCCTCGCCCTCTCTCCCCTCACCACCTCTCCCCTCACCATGCACCCTCTCTCGTCTGACCCTCGCCCTCTCTCCCCTCACCACCTCTCGCCTCACCATGCACCCTCTCTCGTCTGACCCTCACCCTCTCTCCCCTCACCACCTCTCCCCTCACCATGCACCATCTCTCGTCTGACCCTCACCCTCTCTCCCGTCACCACCTCTCCCCTCACCATGCACCCTCTCTCCCCCAACCACCTCTCCCATCGCCCTCTATCGCCTCAACTCTCTCCCCTCACTCTGCACCCTCTCTCCTCTCACACACCTCACCCTGCACCTCTCTCGCCTCTGACCACCTCTCACCACCTCACCCTGCACCCTCTCTCGTCTCACCCTCTCTCCCATCATCCTGCACCCCTCACCCTGCACCCCTCACCCTGTACCTCTCACCCTGCACCATATCTCCGCTCACCACCTCTCCCATCGCCCTCTATTACCTCAACTCTCTCCCCTCACCCTGTACCCTCTCTCCCCTCACCACCTCTCCCCTCACCCTGCACCCCTCACCCTGCACCCTCTCTCGTCTGACCCTGCACCCTCGATCGCCTCAACTCTCTCCCCTCACCCTGCACCCTCTATCACCTCAACTCTCTCCCCTCACCCTGCACCCCTCATCCTGCACCCTCTCTCGTCTGACCCTGCACCCTCTATCGCCTCAACTCTCTCCCCTCACCCTGCACCCTCTATCGCCTCAACTCTCTCCCCTCACCCTGCACCCCTCACCCTGCACCCTCTCTCGTCTGACCCTGCACCCTCTATCGCCTCAACTCTCTCCCCTCACCCTGCACCCTCTATCGCCTCAACTCTCTCCCCTCACCCTGCACCCCTCACCCTGCACCCTCTCTCGTCTGACCCTGCACCCTCTATCGCCTCAACTCTCTCCCCTCACCCGGGGCGCGGCGCCCCGGAGTTGTGCCGCCAGCAGCCCGAGCATCACGTCGCGATCCCCGCTGCAGCACCACGAGGGCTCGAGGTCAAGCGCCGGTCTTCTACTTCCGGGGTCGCGGACAGCGACATAACTCAACATTTTATTTTAGTCACAAAAATATTAAATTATTCCTCTATTGAAAGACAGTTCAATCCGACGTTATATTTAATACAAGTCAAGGCAAAAAAATAAACTGTTGTAACTTGTGTATTGTTGGCGGCTACTCAAAAGTGTATCCGGTTCGCGGACTGCCCGTTCACGGGGGGGAGGGTTCGTATCGATATCATTTAAAACAACTTTATTAAAATCGATTCACGCGGTAATGGCACGGTTATTATTAAGCTCATCGATTGTTTGGAACGCACACGACGCATGTTCAAACTCGACCTTTTGCCATCGCAGACGGCACGAGACGCCGTTCAACGCAAACGAGACGCAGCAACGCAACCGAGCGGCTGCATGACGAAAATCGATTCTCGAAGTTTCGATTCCATTTCGGAATCGAATCGGATCGCGTCTGGATCGTCACACGTGCGGCGAGAGGACGGCAGGCGGAGTGGGGCCCAGGCGAGCATTGTCTGGGAGACGCTGCGAGCAGGACACGGCGAGAGGACATCCCTCCACCGCACGTCCCCCCGTGTGAGAGAACATGTTCTACCATGTGAGTGCCTCGCGTTAGGCGGCCAGGGACATCGCCTTAGCGAGACTCTGGAGGACCCAGGGCCCTGGTTCAACCAGGGGCGTTGTGGAGTCCCGGTGACTTCCAATGGTGTAAATCAGTTGTGACCTGATTCTAGATTTGAAGCTTTCGTGACTGCAATGATTCATATTCTTAGGTTTTTTCGGTAAAGTCACGTAGGTAAAACATCAAAATTAATAAAATAAAATAAAGATCACGACGTTTCGGAGGCAACACAAGTCTCCGTCATCAGGTGGGACCGTCACAGCCAGATTAGCTGCATCAAGTGACAATTTTGATGTTTTACCTACGTGACTTTACCGAAAAAACCTAAGAATACAGTTCTGACCTGGTTACATTAAATATGATAATTGGTTTTTTACCCTTTTATCTGGCAACAAAACTGACACCTTTTTTACAAGGAGTCATGTTTGCATAGACCACAATACCTGCAGTCATAATGCAAACAAAAACATAACTCTGATAATGTAAGTTCATTGGTCCACACCCGAGACAGCTTTCCTTAGGTGTCAGTTTTGTTGCCAGATAGAAGGGTAAAAAAACAATTATCAGCTTTCCTTAGAGCCTAGTCTCACATGGTGTTGGACTGCGCCTTTTGGCGTCATCTGGTCCAACACCATGTGAGACTAGGCTCTAAGGAAAGCTGTCTCGGGTGTGGACCAATCAACTTCAAGGACAGTGCATACATTATCAGAGTTATGTTTTTTGTTTGCATTATGACTGCAGGTATTGTGGTCTATGCAAACATGACTCCTTGTAAAAAAAGGTGTCAGTTTTGTTGCCAGATAAAAGGGTAAAAAACCAATTAGATGTTTTCTTCTGGCAAATGAGGTTCCAATGGTACATTAAATATTACTTGGACTGTGATGGGGCTCCAGCTGTTCGAGGATTACTGGGTACTGTGGCTGAGTACATGGGGCCTCGGCCGTCGGGTTTAGAGTGGGGACTGACAGAGGCTCCCGTACGCGCGGTCTTTTGAAAATTGGAAATGAGTGATTCTGCGGAACTTTAAAGTGATTAAAAGCTACGACTCTTTGAGTGAAAACGTTTTATTTTTCGAGATGTTCATCGTTTCCTTCCACTTTGTTAGAGATGAATTCATTATTTCCCCCCGTCTCGGATGAAATATGCTGCGACGTTTCGTCGTGTGCATCGGTGGAATCTTTTAGACGTCTCCACGTAGCCGCCACACGTGTGCCCTGTGTACTGTCTGCGTGTTTTGTGTCTCCCGAGCAGATTTCCCTGGAGCATGAGATTCTCCTGCATCCTCGATACTTCGGACCCAACCTACTGAACACTGTGAAGCAGAAGCTCTTCACGGAGGTGGAGGGAACCTGCTCTGGAAAGTACGCGGGGGTGGTCCTCCTTTTAAGACTGGGCCAAGGTCCGGTTGTTTACACGATCCTGTGCTAAAATTCTCGACTTTCAACAGCTATTTCAGAAATCCACTGTCAGATAACGGGCCTCCCCCACTATGGGCGGCTTGTGGGGGTTATTCGACCGAACACAATTTGGCCACATTTAAAATACTCATCCAAAGCCCATTACGTTGCTTCAGTTAACAACAACAACCTTGCACTCTCTGAGTTGTAACATAGAATCTAACGCACTCAACACAAATTCGTCAGTTACATTAATGTTATTAATTGGTGTGATGTTGTTAATTGTTTTTTTACCCTTCTATCTGGCAACAAAACTGACAACGTAATGGGCTTTTGGCATCATCTGGTCCAACCCATGTGAGACTAGGCTCTAAGGAAAGCTGTCTCGGGTGTGGACCAATCAACTTCAAGGACAGTGCACATTATCAGAGTTATGTTTTTTGTTTGCATTATGACTGCAGGTATTGTGGTCTATGTAAACATGACTCCTTGTAAAAAAAGGTGTCAGTTTTGTTGCCAAATAGAAGGGTAAAAAACCAATTATCATATTTTTTTACTGGCAAATGAGGTTCCAATGGTGGCGTGATGTTGTCAAGTTCAAGTTCATTTATTAGGTATAGCCCTGTGAGCCATTCGGCTCTTGAATCGGGTGCAACCGCAACAAACAAAAAACAAAAACATGAGCAAAAAACATCTTAAAGTGAATATGTGACTCATTAGCTCCGTGGGCACCATCTGATGTGTAATGCTGTGTCGCTGCAGGTATGGCTTCGTCATTGCGGTGACCACTATTGACAATATTGGCGCCGGCATGATCCAGCCCGGAAGGGGCTTTGTCCTCTACCCAGTTAAATACCGCGCCATCGTCTTCCGCCCGTTCAAAGGCGAGGTGGTCGATGCCGTTGTCACTCAAGTCAACAAGGTATTTCACAGGTTGGGTTGTGCTACACCCATCATTAAATTTCGATTTAAAGCTTTCGTGACTGCAGGGATTCATCTTCTTGGTTCTTTCGGTAAAGTCACGTAGAAGGGGAGACCTGGTCTTCACCTGAGGACGGCTGCTTGCGTTGTGGCCGAAACGTCGTGAGAATTGTTTTGTTATGTTTTATTTTTATTATTTTATTACTTCCCTTCTACGTGACTTTACCGAAAGAACCAAGAAGATACACCTATCATTGTTCAACTATAATATCGGAATGTTTTCATGAATTTTGGGATTATGTCCAAGGATCTGATGTCAATTATTTAGCATGACTGTAATGAGGTGTACAAGATGACCAGCATAGAATTAAACTATTAAATTATCGTCACTTGCCTCCACCCCCAGGTTGGCCTGTTTACGGAGGTCGGCCCAATGTCTTGCTTCATCTCCAGACATGTAAGCATTGGTTGTAACATGATGCACAGCAACGGCAGATATGTTACCTGTGTAATAATTTACTCGCATATGGATTCGATTGTTCTGGAGGATTTTGAAGTTGTTTTGCAAGTCTTTGTTAATGTTTGTACTCTTCGTTTTCACAGTCTATTCCATCGGAGATGGAGTTTGATCCAAACTCAAACCCACCGTGTTACAAAACTACTGATGAGGTATTGTGCAGCTGAAATCGCACATCTAACAGTTTGCAAAATTACGACAAATCAGAGTTTATACTTAATTAACGTTTTATTTTAAACAGGACGTTGTCATCCAGCAAGATGATGAAATCAGGCTAAAGATCGTGGGAACAAGAGTTGACAAAAACGACATTGTAAGTGTTGAATACTTAATGCACACACAACTTCATGCACTCAGTATTTTCAAATGTGAATAAATCCATATCTTTAACAATGATAGCGTTAATTTAATGTTCAACTGTATCGTGTGCAATGTATGGTCTGACTTTATCCTTTGTTTATTCAGTTTGCCATCGGCTCCCTTATGGACGATTATTTGGGTAAGTGTATAACCATCTTCTACATTGAAACATAACACTTACGATTATTGCATAATAAGGTGTATAAGACAAATATGTACATAACTTAAGTGTTATGATGAATTGTCATACAAAAGCACACTGTTTAAACTTATGTATGTTTGTTGTTTAGGTCTTGTCAGCTAAATTGCTGCCCTTCGAAGTTGCTGGGATGGCTACAGATTCAACCGTGTTAATATTTTTTTCAATCATAACACACTGGCATAAAATAGAAATAATACTTTGATAGTTTGCATCAACAGAAAATATTATTTGAAAACGGATCTTTGTAGGTTAAATGATAAATGAACATTGTTCAAATGTAAGTTGTTGCTTTTTTATATCTTTGAATAAATGTACATCAGACTAATTGTTGACCTGTCTGTATATACAATTTCATTACATCATGTCTTAATTTAAACAAAATAACGTTTTTTCCCAGAACTTACTCGGTCCTCTTATTCCAAAAATAATGTAGATTTGCAGTTTATAAATAAGGTACAAATTCTTGTAATTCTGAATCCGAATCTTTCTTTAGACTGGAGGAATCTGAACTATGAAGCTTTTTTTCACAGATGTCCCAAAGGACAGTAAACTTAATAGGTGCGTTAAAATGTGCATATACATGGGAAATATTATTCAAGGTCTTAACAGGAGAAAATCGCATTAAATTCACAAAAATATCCGAAATAAATATGCCCCCATGCCATATCAGTGATGGGGGGTTGGAACATACTTCACCAATTTCTGGTTAAATGATTCACACAAAAAACAGTAGGATGTACAAGCACAATGTGCGTGCTTAATATATGTTGATTACAATATGAATAACCCAATGGATATCCATAGTAATGTATATGCGTTCATTAACTCCCTCTGGCCTTTGCACCTCATTGACTCAAAAGTAACATCACATTTTTCCCTCTAAGAATGAAACAGGAGGATTTATCTACAACTCTGGCTCTTGCCTGATGATGCTAGTTGTAATTACCGGCGAATTGTAAATGTGGATTTACTTTCCAACACACCGGTGTGTTGTACTCGTAAGGAATTTGCATGTTTTGTTTTCGTGACAAACCTTGCTAATTGGTGGTGGTGGGTTTAACTACACATATTTACGTGATCTAACCTAAAAAAAAAACTCATGGATAAATTATACTGCTTCTTGGTGAGGATTGAATGGCGTGTAGGATTCAGCACTGGTTCATATCACACTCGCCGCTCGTGTTAAGGGTGTCCAGGTTACCATGTTTTATAACGAAGTGTGTTAAACGCTTTGGAATGTTTGGGAGTACAGAAACAATGCATACCTGTCAACCCATACGGATTACCCGCATTCTTGTACAGGGAAATTGAGTTTTCAGGTCCAGAGTTTTCAAGTCCATATGGCGTATAGCCGTTTAACTACGGGCAAAAAATGGTCTGCGTGTTTCTCCCTGGTGATGGGACTTTGTCGGATGAACGTTTATATTTATAAGGGCATGGGATGGCCAATAAGGTCTGAATTAGTCTAATAAGGTAGGCACTGATACGGGGTTGACAGGTATGGCTATGCTTGTTTTTTTCACGTGTATTAAACTATTATTACACGTGTTTATTGTTACACGCATGATCCCGTTTAGCAATTTGACTATTTTACGACAAAGATCCGCAGTGTGTGAGCACAGCAACAACAAAGTGGATGAGAATAAGTACAGGTTCCTGAAGGAATATCAGAATCTTTATTTTGACTGCAGGAATCCGGTTATAGCTATGAAGATCTTTTCCAAAGATGTTCCAGCAAACAATACAACAACAAAACACCGGTAGGAGTGCAAAATAGAGAAAAAGATATGCAGGTCACTGAAATATAAATAAATACTTGTCATACTCTTTGGTTCTTTCGGTAAAGTCGCGTAGGAATAAAATAAATGAAATCACGACGTTTCGGGCGCAACACAAGTGCCCGTCATCAGGTGGGACAACCACAGCAAGAAACAATTGCTGAAGTGGGCAAAAGGGTCTGCTTGTAACAAGAGGCTATATAACCAGTCACGAAAACTTCAAATCTACTTGTCAGAGTTATGCTGTCAGCAGAGGGCAGTGCAGCGAAATCGCACCGTGTCTGCTTCTACGGCCCCCGCAACGACCAGCGTGGTGAAGTATGGTCACAGAACTGCCCACGGCGTGGAGAAGAGGGTCCTCGTCCAGCAGTGGAGTAACGAAGAGGACTTCACACGACGTAGCTGTCAACCCATGCGGTTTACCCCGTATTCTTGTACATTGAAATTGAGTTTCCAGGTCCACGCGGCGTACAGCCGTTTCAATAAGGGCAACAAAAACATGTTTTGTCTATTTGTGTTTCTCCCATTTGATGGGAATTTGTAGGATGAACGTTGAGATGTATAAGGGGCACGGGGTGACCAATAAGGTTTGAATTGGTCTGTAATCAGGTGGGACACTAATCAGGTGGGACACTGATCAGGGGTTGACAGGAATGACACGTAACTGACGTACAGCACGTCTAACGCTAACACATTCCTGCGTGGGGAGCTGGTAGGAACGTCGGGTTGCTCGGTCAATGGCCTGCAGGGTCAACGGCGGCGTGGTGTATTCCGCAAATATGGCCGACTGAGGGCGGGCACAAGCCGGCGTGAGTAGGTTAAACGTTGAGTTTTATAAGGGCACCACGGGATGACCAGCCCCTCCCCACCCAGCCCCACCCAGCCCCTCCCCACCCTCCTCTTCCCACCCAGCCCCACCCTCCCCACCCAGCCCCTCCCCACTCAGCCCCTCCCCACCCAGCCCCTCCCCACTCAGCCCCTCCCCACCCAACCCCTCCCCGCCACTCCCCACCCAGCCCCTCCCCACCCAGCCCCTCCCCGCCACTCCCCACCCAGCCACTCCCCACCCAGCCCCTCCCCACCCTCCTCTTCCCACCCAGCCCCTCCCCACCCAGCCCCTCCCCACCCTCCTCTTCCCACCCAGCCCCACCCAGCCCCACCCAGCCCCTCCCCACCCAGCCCCTCCCCACTCAGCCCCACCCAGCCCCTCCCCACCCAGCCCCACCCCTCCCATTTTTGGATGCACGACAGACGGACGGACACAATAATCCCCTGTGGACTGGTGGAACCAGGAGGTTCCTACCAGTATACGCACTACGCTTATACATGTGGTGTAGTAATGTATTAAAATAAACACTACGCTTATGTGCTGTAGTAATAATATATTAATATAAACACTACGCTTATAAATGTACTGGACGATATTAAAATAAACAGCTTATAAATATACTGTAGTAATACAATAAACACTACGCTTAAAAATGTACTGTAAGATAAAAATAAACACTACGCTTATAAATGTACTAGAGTATTACAATAAACACTAAGCTTGTAAATATATTGTAATAAAATAAACACGACGCTTATAAATGTATTATAGTATTAAAATAAACACTAAGCTTATAAATGTACTGTAAGTATTAAAATAACCACTACGCTTATAAACGTCCTGTAGTAATAAAACAAACACTAGGCCGATATTTGTGCTGTAAACAACAATGTATTAAAATAAACACTACGCTTATGTGCTGTAGTAATAATGCATTAAAATAAACACTGCGCCTAGGTTAGGCCGAGGCGGTTGCCATAGGCAACGCGTGACGTCACGCACAAGCGCCCTCTCGCGCACCCATTGGCTGCGGCGGCGGTCACGTGGCCCACGCGAGCCCCACCCCCCTCCCGCGTGTCATTCGTGCGTGCGGCCAGTGGGTTCCGGCAGCAGCAGCAGAATCGTCGCGACGTTCCTCGTCCTCTAGCTCGTCGCCGCAGCCCTAATCATCGGTACAAGCTGACAGTGACGAGGACGACGAGTGAGGTTCCATCGGCCCGCTCACGAGCGTCGCCGATGACCACGCGACTCGGCCGAGGTGACGAGGAGGAGGGCCTGGCCGCCTACCGCGCTAGCCTGAGAGGTAGAGTCCCGGAACGTCGGCACCCACCAGGAGCCACGAGGTCGCGGCCCCTTCAGTCTCGAGCACAACTCCCCCCCCCCCCCCCGGGGTCCCCTTGAAGCCATGGGCTCCTTAGCCACGAGATCGGGGCCACCTTAAGCCACGGCAAAGGGAACCCTTCAGTGCTGAGAACGGATCACTTTTGGGTTCTTGAGGACGACTTTTATTACACTGCTCAACACACCTTTTTCTGGCATAAGGTATTTTAACGGGTTTAAGGATTCCAAATCTGTCATCAGTTTTTGTCTATCACATCAGGTTTTTGAGATATCAAATATTGCATTTTCAATTAAAGCTGCAGAAGAAAAATATTAAATAAATGTGGATATCTACATAAAATTATATTATAAACACACTATCCTAAAAATACAGCACCATATTTTAACACTAAAGCAGTCACTGACTCGCAACAACTTGCAATCATAAGTGACAGACTTAATTTCTGGTAAAATCAATGAAAATGGGGTATGCAGATAGTATAAAAATGAGATGTGATAAAGCAAATCTGAGATCAGATTTGAAATTAGTCTAAACCAGCTGCAAAGGTACAGGCCAGAAATTGTTTTTTTGTTGACCAGTGTTATTATTATTCCACCCTTATGTATCCCAGGATATGGGATTGCTTTAGTCCGGAGAATTGTCAGCAGGAGGGTACCATCGTTTGTGTGTCCTCTCTCTCTACCACGGACGTAGCTGCCGAGCGAGCAGGCGGTGCGATTCCACCGGGTGTCGTCAAGCCACGAGGACGGGGTCATTTTTGTTCAGAGAAACCCCGAGGACGACGTTCCATTCGCTTCGGTGGTGCTCTCATCTCCAAGATCCCGTCTTGGTGTATCCCCTCGCTGGGAGGACGGGGTCGCCATCGCCGTTCGATCCCGTGGTCTTATAAATACATCTTAATGACGGCTCGTTTTAAAGGCCGGCGAGCATAGTGCTGGCCCGTGTCCCAAAACTTTAGTGCAGTGCTTGGTACCTGGAGTCTTGAAACTCTGACCGAGGGCTGAAACCACAGCAACAGGCGGGAATTGGTCACTAGGATCACCACTCGGCTGTGTTAGAATCAGCCGAGTTAGAATCGAAATCCGATAAGCTATGAAGCTCTTTTTTCCACAGATGTCCAGCCCGAGTGCTTGCAGCCCCCCATTGTAACCACACGGGGCCGCCAAAGCAGCGGCCACAGATATGACCCCAAACGAGCAGGGGTGAATATTACATTGTCCCATTGAATGAACTGGGAAAGTGAAACAAAACAACGCGTTTCATTCCGTGCATAGTCCACGCTTGGGCGAGATCAACTTTGCCCACGATTAGAATCGTGGACTGTAGTGCAGATGGCAACAAACGCGCTTAGCATCCTCGAGTTTGATGACCCCGAAATATGTTTTTTAGTCACCAAATATAATTAAGCTGCGCTTTTGAACCGTTTCCTGTAGAATATGCCCCTTAGTTGCAACACAAAATGAGCCAGTTGAGACTAGAATTGTCTTTTTAAGAGAGATCTGAGATTTAAAAAAAAAAATACATGAAACAACAAAATGTGTGTAAATAAAAAAAAGTTAGTCTGGCATTCAGCCTAGCATTTTAACAGATTGTGTTGTCACTGGGTAACCATGAACAATGATGTCATGTAAATTAACCAGAGAGGGCCACCTTCAGCCTGGATCTACAAGGCAGCACGTTGGAGGAGCGAGCCAAGGACCCACTGGACACATCCCACACTGAGGATGAGTGGGCCCCCCTCACGGCAACTCCAAAAGTCCAGTGGCAAGAGCTGAGGCATAGCGATGCTGGTAGGAACTCACACCAACTCCCACATCTGTTGAAGAGCAGTGTGCTGTGAATGTGCAGGGTTGTGTTTGAAACGACGTGGAGTTTCTGCGTGTTTGTACACAACACAGCCGTGTCATAACATGCATGACAACACATGTAATTTGGGTGCGTCTGACGTGGACTTTAAATATAACACCAATGCACTGATTAATTTAGAGCAATTAACCATTTTATGCCTCATATGCAGTCACTCAGCTGCGAACCCTGCTACGCAAGCATGAAAACCAAGAATTGCCATTTTCCTCCTCACCTGGTTCATCACCCCAAAAGGTAAGATACCAATAAAGTTGTTAAATGTAGGTAAATAATGCATGTGAAAATGTGCGCTTCTGTACATTTGTGTGCGTAATATTTAATGTATGCTTCCTTGACTGGAAACCTCAGTACCCAATTTAAATGATGCTTGCTCATCTGACACAAATGTGTAAGGATAGTATAGAGAGCTTTGTGTTTTGACTTATCAATTATAATTCTATTGAAATCCGTTCCTTGTAACTTTGCACAAAGGACCATGCATCTGGATTCCGAGAATCGGACATAAACGTGCCAACGGTGGATGAGCTTGTGCCAATCATCCACCGGCAGGCAGAGTATGTACAGCACCTGGAGGCTCAGGTGCAATTTTGCAAAGTAAGTTCAAAATCCTCAAGCTACACCACAGGTGAACCCTGTACACCTGTCCATTATTCTACACCACAACCAATAATTATGGAGATTCACTCAGCTGTGCAACGATGCTTGGCTGGAGGAAGAGTGCATTTGTGAAAGCTTACACAAGTGACGTGACTAATGACGTTACAGGAGGAGCTGTTGGGGATGAAGCAGCGAGTGAAGGTCGTTGTGCTGGAAAATGAAAATCTTCGCGATGAACTGAAGGGGGAATCTGTGCAAGAAAGTCTATCGGATCATGCAGAAAATTACGTGCTGGTAACTGCTTATTCATTTTTTCCACGTTCAATTACTGTTCTATTTTATATTACACAGATGTGTGCAAACTGTCCATAATCTTGAATTAATGTCTCACTCCTATTGTAGGTACATTACTGAAATAGGGTGACAAATGTACGCCTTGTTACATTCCCCCATTTATATAGGATGAGGTACAGTTACCGCGTTCCCAATCCAACGAGCTTCCCAAGCGCGTGGCAGATGAGAAAACATCAAACACAAAGCGAAGCCCCTCCCACACTGCCGCTTCCTCCGTGGCCACCGCGATTCAGCAGGAACAATGGAAGTTAGAGCTGGTATGAATTTTCAGGAGTAATTTTGCCAAATTTCTTTTTTCACGTGTGTATTCATTAATAGGTATTTTAAGCATTTTCTACTGTTATTCGTTGGTAAAAAAAAATTCTACAATGAGCTTCTTAAAAAGACATCCTGTAACATCACGATTGTGCTAAATGCCTCGTATTGTTAGAGTCATGGTTGTATAAAAAAAAAAGAGCTACATCAAATGGAACATGGTGCGGTCGTGTTAAATGTATTAAGTTGTCCACAAACCATTTTCTTGCTTTTACAATAATGAAGTAATGTGTATGTCCCTCTCTTACTAAGGAACGGCTAAAAGCTTTACACGAAGCCAGAACCCAGACCATGGAGGCTCAGATGAATTCATTACGGTTAGTTGCTTAAAATAACATTTGACTACTTATGTTCAAATTCTGGATTTCCGCTATTAAACATTTGTATAAATGAATTTAAAAGACCATTCTTGTACTTTCCGAGTACAGTTGATCATCGATTATTTGGCGGCTTAGGGGGGCAGGCGCCGCCAAATAAAAAACGCTGGATAATCACAACATTATTTAAAATAGCTTATTTTTGTAGATTCTTGAATAAAATGTTTTTAGGTGTTGTGTGTATATTTTTGGTGTTTAATTTTTTTTTCTATATGCAATTGGCATAAATAAGTGTTCAAATGAACAAAAATAATTATTCTGTAAAAAGTTACTGCATGTGAGGTCTGTATATTGCTCGCTAACGTAATCAAACACACGGCTTGTTTCAACCATGTGTTTGACGATCACCAACCAGACTGATGCAGCCTTTAAACTGGTGCTCCGGCGAACGCAAAATCATATGCACCACCGGATTGTCCTGTATATTTTCTGTTTTTATTAGTTATTCATCATGACATATGTATATAGTGTAGTTTTTTTCATTGTTTAAGTTGTATGTAGTGCATAATGTACAGGTACATAATATTTGACACTGAAATCAAGTATAGCTACTTTTTTTTGTCACGCACATGGTGCCAATTGCCGGATTGGTACAGCCTTTGGAGCGGTTTTCCGGCGATCGCAGGATTACATGCCGGTTTCGGGGATCGGCCCGGGACTGCCGGATAATGTTGGAAGCTGGATAATCGCGTGCCAGATAATCAATGATCTACTGTGTATTTTAAAAAATTCTGATGAAACAGGAGATGAATTTAGCTACTGTAACAATCATTTATGTCCTGTCAATACAACCTATCGAAACAAATTATACGTCTTAACAATTCAGCAGAAATTCATGGGCAAATAATAAATGAGGTCACAAAATGCATTAATCTGCCAAAAAGCCTACTCTCACATTTACTAATTTGATGCTTATAATGTGAATTATTATTCACATTAATGTCACTTTTTAAAATACAGTGTTTAGCAATTTGTTGACACTGCAAGATTTAAATATGGGTTTGGTTTGCATTCTACTCATATTTCACTGTTTTTGTGGAAAAAATCTGGAAAGCTTCTGCGTCAACTTTTTTTTGCAATTGTTTTTCTGGACACTGCCCAATAGATACATTTGCAAAACCTTGTGACGCACGAGTGACCGTGCGTTAACTGTGCAATTGATGGACAGGATGGATCTGTCGGAGTCCCAGCGCAAGTGTGAAGAGTTTCGGCTCAAGCTGCGGCAGCAGGAGGGACCTGGAGGCGGAGTCCCCGGGGGGCTGTGTGTGAAGTGTGCCCAGCACAAGGCGGTCTTGGCACACACGCACAGTGACGCGCACGTGCAGACCATAGGCAGGCTCACAAAGTGAGTCCGCAGGGGTGGCCCCTGCCGACGCTGTATCTACTGCGCATTTAAGCACATTTCATGCGTTACTTGATTAACGGTTTTCAAACCATTATGCTTGCATGGAAAGCAGGGTGGCACAGTGGTAATGATTGTGCCTTACAGCAAGAATGTCTGGGTTTGATTCCCAACTCGGGCACCATTCTGTGTGGAGTTTATATGTTCTTCATTTGTTCTGCATGGGTTTCCTCTGAGTTCTTAGATTTCCTCCCAGAGCTAAAAATAAATGTATTTTGTATCGGCCAAACACCCCAATGATGAAAGATGATCTTCAGATGACTCGATTATGGGATTACATATAGCGCCATCACCCTCTACTGCGGGAAACTTGGCAGGACCCTTCTGAAAAAGTTTGAAGACTTGGTGAGGCTTTCCTGAGTAAACAAGCATAACTATAATACTAGAACAATGTAAAATAAGTAATTATAGTAATATAACAACAAAAATCACACACGATTCCAAAAACTGTCTTATTTATGCTGATGTATATGCTATAAAACAAATCTGACATCAAAACACTTGTGTGTGTGTGTGTGCAGGGAACGAGATGAGCTGATGGACACCTTGGCAGGGCTGAGATGCACTGTAAGTGAGCTGCAGCGGAGGGAAGCTGCCGCCTGCGAGCAGGTCAAAGCCACTTTGGAGACAGCCGAGGAAGCCAACCTGGAGAAAGCCAAGGCATGACGTTCAGCTTCCAATGCAACATCACTCAATGTGACAAGAAGAGAAACCGAGGTTGCCTAACTTTGCCGAACGGCTGAATGTTAATTTTGCAAAGTATTAGCGGTCAGGGAAAATTTAATAATCGGATTTGATATGGTGGCGATTTCATCTCATGGCTAGCCATGGTGATCTACCATTGACTAAATGTTTTCTGCTTGCCTCTACTCTCTGGCCCTGCAGATGGCAGTGGAGTGTGAACAGATTCGGTCGGAGCTGAGCCGGCAGAAAGAGCGGCTCGGAAAGGAGCTGTCCCTCCTTCAGGAACGGATCGTGCTTGCCCGCAATACGGCCCACAATGAGGCTGGAAAGGAGAAGGAGGCGTTGGATTCTACTGTAAGTCACCATGGGCTAAAATGAAGTCATCCGCACTGACGACGAGCTGAGAATGTGTCAGTCACTGATAGCATGCTTGTCTATGATCACCCAGAATGTACCCAATCTCATTAGGTCTCAGAATTTAAGCAGTTTCAAGCCCTTGCAGTGCTTGATAGAGTGACCACCATGCACAACGGGTTGTTATAGGATACGGGGCTACATGGTGAGTGGCAGAGAGCATCTATGTAGCCCGCGTGCCTAGCCAACGCATGCCCAAGCAGCTTCTGTTTGGTCTGATTGAGGGGGTTAGACGGGCACGGCATGGGCTAGAAAAGAGATGGACTGATGCGGTACAGAAGAATGTGGAACTGATTGGACTTGCCAATGATTCGAACAAGCGGTGTCAAGATTGGGTTCTGTGGAGGAGGCTCATGAAGGACACTACTGGGCAGTTGGAGGAAGCCGCCCTCCAACAACAGCGGTGGACAGAGGAGCAACGCTCATAATAACAAGCGGAGTGCCGGATGGCTAAAACGCAGCAAGTTGGCAAAGTAGGGAGCACAGGTGGTGCCTCTGACGGTCATGTCAGTCAGCCCATGGCACCTTTGTCTGCCCCTTGACCTCCTGCCGGCAAAATCTTGGGACACTTCACGTGGTCTCAAGGTGCACCTAGCCTGGCACAAGCACCGTAGTGACGTCACCGCCACTTATTGGCGAACTGCGGTTGTTGCAGCGATGCTTTCTGCCTTCACAAATCCACACTACAGCATGATGAAGTATGTTCAAATAATCCCCATGACCTACATGATGGGGGAAGGCTGTCATCTAGCAGTGAATTGACAAAGGGCTATACACGTACAAAGTAATGCACTTGAATGTTTAGGCAGCAAGTGCTTGGTGAAAACTAAAATCTTATTTGGTACACTTCAGCAAGTCTTTTTATGTTATTGTACATTTGTGCAAAAATCACACTACTGACACTTGTAATTAATTACTCTTGTGAAATTATAGTGATACATCCACATTTAATGTTTATTATTGCACATTGTTATTGCAATATATATTTTTTTGTGCAATGCCTATTATCAACAGTTTTTAACTACAAATTTAGAGGTATGCTTTTGCATTACTGATATTCTACAAATTATTTGCCTCTTATACGTGCCTTGCCTTTTCACAAATTTGTACTGTATATTTTATTGTTCACTCTCGCGTAGGGGGTCACTCAAAAGATAAACTTTCTTTTTTTGTAATGGGCTCTCGCCTGGTTGTAAATGAAGGCCAACTACCATTTCTGAGCAGCCTTTAAGGGAAGGCAGTAACAAAATGCATGCATTCTATGCCTGAATGTATGCCCTTGGTGAACTTGCACCGGCAGATGGTGGGTAGTTTTTTTGAGAAATTAATTATTTATGAGAAGCTGCAGCTTTCCTCGTTCAGTTTTTCCTGATTTTGAGTGCAGTCTGGGAGTTAGCTTTTACAGTGTAGTTCGAGGATGTTTTTTGTCATGCCCTGGGGTGTTGAATGCTTCGAACATGAACATGTTTTTGCAAACTGTGAAAAGTTTAGTCTTCCCGAGCTGTCTGTTGGCATTGTATGAGATTACTTGAAACAAGCTAAGCGGGGTAGTGTCCTGACCTTTCGGCCAGCACCTTCTGTCAACATCCCTTTCAGATGTACAGCAAGCTTTGACACACCATGTGCTTTGTTGTCAAATCACAACTTTATAACCTTAATAACCCACGAGAAAACATGGGATTTTTTGTTTTTAACAAGATAGGATAGCTTTACAAAAGAAAATCTACTGCTGTGTTTGTGCATGTGTGGACGAGCGTGCACAGCGGGTGGCGCGCTGCGCTACGAACCCGGCCCACCCGAGTTCCATTCTCGTTCACGACCAACACCGGTGACGATTATCTGAACTGGTCCTGGGCCTCCTCTAGGTCGACTCGGCCTATAAATGCGTGCCTGGTATAGTGTGTAAATATCTCTACTAGGGAGACAAAGGTGGCCAGGCACGGTGCTGGCCACCGAACCGTCCTTCGTGTGCCGTGCCAGCCTTCATAAGTGCTCGCTGTTAAAGACTACACGGGGGCTCTTTGTCTTTGTGTACCACCCAGGTGAAGTTTTTGTCTGAAAAAGTAGGCACCCTGGAGGCGCAACTGGAGCGGTTGGCCCGAGAGAAGGGAGCCATTGGCGAGCAGCTGGAGGAGGCACAGAAGCAGCTCACGGCTCACGAGACCGACCTCAGCAAGGTGCAGCCGTCGGTGCCTCCCGAGTGTTGCTGCATCTCTTAAAAATTTCCATAAAGTGCACTTGCAATGTTGCTCGCAGCGAACATATTATGTAAATATGTATCGTATAAAAACACAGAAATTTAGATTGGGAATTTTTTTTTTAAATAGATCCGATGATAACACCTTTTTTCACTCTGGTTTATCGAGCTGTGCCACTGCTGTCTGATGTGCAGATGTGTGGAGAGATGCGCTTCCAGCTAAACCAGGCAAAACTACGCAAGGACGAGGCAGAGAAAGAACTCAAAGAATACAGAATGAAAGCAATGCGGCAGATGGATGTGAAAGAGCAGGTTTGTACCTTCTCCCTGTAAATTAATTCAAACATTTCTACCCGTTTGCCAACAGCTTTCGAACTGTTCATCACTTGCTAATTTTATCAAGCTCAGCAGCACCAACTGCCCACAGAAACACCGCGTTACATTAGAAGTATTGTCCCCGGCCTTGCTGTTGAGCAGGAGGTTGAGCGGCTGGAGATGGAGTTGGCGGAGCTGCGGCGGCGGCTGGAGCGAGCGGAAGGCGAGGCTGCACGTGCCGGGGATGAGCGCATACAGCTCACGCACCGGCTGGGCACGGCCGAACAGCAGTTCCAGGTCGCCAGGTGAGCAATCGCCAAGCGGGCTAAGCGTAGCTACTGTCGGCAATAACAACTGCAGCAGCAACAGCAGTGGGCCGGCACATTGTGTAACCCAAGATTTCCCAAAATGCATTCTTCACGCCTCCCCCTCCATGGCATAGCTTTCCATTTTTACTCGCCAATCATCAGGTGCTTGCAAGGTGTACCGACTTAATTTAGATGTGGACAGAGATGACTGCTAAAGATGGAAACCTGCGCTGTCGGGGAGTGCAGAGGGAATGGAGTTTGGCATTGCCACCAGATGTGCCATTCTCATGTTTGGTTTGCGCACACGCTTTGCCCGTGTGCTTGCGTGCGCACGAGTTAGGATGGAGAAAGAATCTCTGCAGAGACGCATCGCCGACGACTCGAGGAGCCTGCGCACGCAGGCTGAGCAGCGAGAGCAAGAGCTGATTGCACACATCCAACTCTCCGAGAGCCAGCACCGGGAGAGAGGCAAGTCAGGCCCTCTCCCATCAATATCAGCAATGGAAATGACGTGTGCATGAAATTGTATTACTTTTGCAACAAAAAAAGCAGTCGTTTTTTTACTCTCCCCAAGATTTCAGTAATAGGACTAATGCACAGCTAACATGTCCAGTGGCTTATCCTCCAAGGTATGATGAAACAGCTGCTGTTGGCTTCTTTTTTTGCATTTACGTTTCATCAAGGAAATGTCACGTTGCCCAGGGTGTTTGCAGCACAGCTGTCTTCAACTATACACTCTGCCACACCGTCTGTTGCATTTGCTAATCCAGTGAAACAGATGGTTGTAAAAATCTTAGCTTGGATGCACTCCGTTAGTTTACAAGGATAAGTCATATACGTACAAATATAAATCCTTGGTCTTGATAGGGTTACCCTAGACATTTGATTTAAAATTCAGGTAAATTTACAACTGCTCGAACTGCATTACTCTTCTGTACGTGTGGACTGCAGAGGATTACATTTCCCTCATTAAGGAATGCTGTTGCTTCATATATTTACACAGTGGGTGAATTGGAGGCACTTGCAAGCTCTCAAAATGCTTTGCTGAAGCAGCTAAAAGATGAATGCAAGCTCCTTTCTGAGAAGCTCGGTGGAATGAACGAGAAGCGCCGGTACGCCCACGGTTGACATTTTATTTCACCATTTAACCACTAAAGCGCCAGGCATATTTCTTGTCACGTCTTACGATAATTCAGACCACAAGCCGCCATGTTTAAAAGTAAGTGGGGCTCGTAGATTATAAACATCAGTGTCCACTTCCGCTTGTGTTTTTTTAATTGTTTTTGTTTTGTACGGCATCGTGATACGCAGTTGTGCTTGCGTGATGCTGTGATTTGTGATTTCTGTGTATCACGGATGCCTCGTGTCTGATTTTTTGCATGCCGATACCGTACCTGATACAGTTGTGTAAGTTAGCTGTCAATGCTATCGCACTACTCTCACTTGGTTTGCTATGTTGTTCCAATGGATGTGGGAACTTGGAGGGTAAGGAGCGCGCTGATCTCCATCTTTTGAAGAGGGGGGGGGGGGCGAGCGATACGTCGTGTCATGTCATAACCTTCATGGACCACTCCAGATACTTCCTTCCCCAACTCATAAATCATTCAGATTTGACGTACGACCCCCCTACTTGGTGAAGCAGAACGTCAAAAATATTGAATTTTCATTTAAAAGACCTCCCCTCCCAAAAAATGGATAAAGACGAGGCACCCTCCTCGTGTGCCCCTTTCCCACAATGCCAGTGTGGACTACCTCTAAATCTGTCGACGTGCAGGGCAGAGGTGGCCCAGCTGAGCCAAGAGAATGGCGAGTTGCACGAGCGGCTCGCGCGCACGCGCCAGCGAGCGGACGATCTGGAGTCGCAGTGCGTGCAGCATGGCCGAATCCACGAGCGAATGAAGGAGCGGTGAGCATCGCGCGTACACTTCCCAACCAGTAACCGTGCACATTGGCCAACCGAGCAGTCATGGGTGTCCCCTTCGATTAAGTGGAATTATTATCAGCTGCAGGAGTAGCATTTGGTTCATTATTGGCTTCATGATTTGTCAAGTGTGCAAATGTTTTTGCCAGGCATAAAAATTGTAGAGGCATGGCAGGATAAAAAAAAAATACAAATGCCTCATTGCTTGTTAATCTAACCATAAGCATTCATTGACATCATCATCACCGAATGCAGGGTTGCATGTGACCAACGATGCCTATTGTCGCCAAAGCATGGGGAAATGGCACACTTCCAGCCTGGAGTGCTCTCCTCTGGATTTAGCATCCAGCTTGCAGAAAATATCACGTTCTGTTATCTGCAAATAGTTCACATGTGTAAGAACACCCCTTCTTATGTGCACATTCCAGCTCTGGCATATCTAGAGGGTTATTCTCTTCAGCCACCGCACTTTTTTTTTAAACCACCTAAAAGTTTTAAGATGATCATCAGATACACTCTAATTTACAACTCTCACTATAAATTAAAGTAGGAATTAGATTGGCAGTTTCGCCAGGTTCATTTAAAGGTTGGCTTAACCGCTGTTGGCAAGTGGAGAAGCGAAACGAGGATGAGTCATGGCAGCTGGCATCAGGTATTTCCGTCAGTCGAGAGAGTGATGGAATTGGGAGTGGAAGGGAGGGGGGGGGGAGACGGCACCACTATCTCCCGTCTCCCTGCCACCCCCCCGCCCTCTTTCCCGTGCCCTTGCCCACAGCAGCCCTTGAGTGCGGCTCCGGTCCTGACCACACCTGTGCCCCCCGGCAGACGCGGCTCCTAATAAGGGCGGCACAGCTGCGGGTGCCGCCAGCCAGTCTGGCTGCCGTCGGCCTGAGCCGGGTATCGGGTCTCCCGTGCAGCAACCGGAGCCTCCAGCGCGCTCCCAAATAACGCTGCACACAACACCGCTTCCAAAATAAACCCCTGTACAGAAACCGTACACTCTACCCCCCCCCCCCCCCCCCCCCTTTACAATCATCCCTTTCCACTATGACTAACTTTTAGGAAGTATACACAATGTTGAGTATTGGCGCACGCAAAAAAAACTTCGGTAAGACCATTTTGTTTGGGTTTGGCGAGCGCATTTTTTCCAGTGCATAGCTCACAAATATTCCTTCCGATCAACGTGATTCGGCGTGAGTGACGAGGCAAAATGTGAAAGAAATATAACTTGGTTCTCTTACCTGGCGGTTACAACTCAATGAGTAGCTGGCTGGGGTCAAAGAGAGTGCATTGTTATCGTGGCGAATCCTAAAAATGTCAAGAATATTTAGTCACGCTTGGTTGAATTACTGTGTTTCATATTACCACACTCGCTGGCAGAGGTTGTAATTTATAGGGCACATAAGCACGCATTATGAGGAGAGCACAAAAAGTGCACACACGGCCCTAAATTGGATAATTTAATTGGCCGGAATATGGTCGTGTGATTACTTTGCAGTTTGTGCGTTCAGTTCAAGAGGAGTTTAAGCGATTTGAAAGTGGGTAGGAAGGAGTGTTGAACAATGACTTACGATGTTGCAAGTGGCCGAGTAGACTCACAACTTGGAGTGAAAGTTCTTAAAAGATAAATTGCGCAAACCATTACACCATGTGTTTTTTTATCAGAACCCATGTAACATGCTTTTAATATTTAATTACAAAGAGTGAACACATGGATTAAGTAAAATGTAATGTGGGCCTGTCATCTGTTTTGTGATCAAAACAAATAAATGCAGAAAGTTCCAAACCCAGATCAAGTACAACATACTGTGGGCATCGATGTGACAGGCGAAGTAAACATTTCCATTCAGACCCGTATTCAATACCGCACATAGACACACCACTAAAATGTTGTATGCCTAATGAAAGTGTTTTTGAGATAACACTATATATCTCACTGGGACGTTTTACTAATCAAGTAATATTTCCGTAGACAAAAAAATGTGAAGACATGAAAATAGGTCACGAAACGTGGCACAGTGGGAAATGCGCGTGTGATCTGGAAGGGCTGTGGTGATGGATGGTTGTGGTGTTGGTGAACGTTGCTATTTTGAAAAAGATGGATTTACAAAAATGTCATTCCGTATCGGGAAACTCAAAGAAGCTTCTTTGTACACAAGCATTTCAAATAACTTAATTGAATAACTAATTTTCACAGAACTGTGCATATAATACATTACATAGAACTTGTTTTTTTTCTTATCAACGATGGGATTTGTTTATTTTTTGTATGCACGTGGAGCCACAATGGCTCCTAATTTATGTTTTGGGGCAAAGGGAGTTTGTGGCCTAAACACAATTGGGAAGTAATGCTGTTCGAAACCTAACAAGACAATAAATTGTAATCTAGCCTCAACTCCCGAGTAAAACAAGCACAGTACGAGTTGCGGATACGTTTTCTGATTGTCTACTTTCATTTCAAAAAGTTAATGGTATTAACAGCGATGGAAGGTTCTTGCTGGTATCCAGCAGTACTGCCACACCTACACGCTCCACAGGTGACGGCGACTGTCGGGCTGGAAAAGCAGGAAACATAATTTGCATGCACAAAGAGGAACTTCAACGTGGCTTACATCCAATGCTGCGGTTATGCGTATCGGTACATTCAAATGTTTTATTAAGTTTGAATGGACATTACTTTTAAGTGTAAAATAAATAAAAATTGATCACGTTAGCTGCAATTTCAATACAACAGTTCCATGTTCAGAGAACCGGACATTACCGTGACCTGACCTTACAGGGTTACGACTTGTGCGGCAGCTAAAATTATACACCGAGCAGCTACTGCGGGCGGACAGTTGTTTGCAGCAGGTTATTTAAACACTCCTGTCACTCCTTGCCCACTTCCCCCACTAACCCTTGCCCCCCCCCCACCCCCCCAATCGACAAACCGCCTGACCAGGTTGCAACAGCTGGACATGCACAGTCAGGCGAGTGTGCGCCAGGTGGTGGAGCTGCTCGGCAAGCAGGGAGCCCTGCTGCACGAACGCCAGCTGCTCTCCCACGAGACGCACTTCCTGAAAACCCAGGTAAGGGTTTGGCCCACTTTGGCGGCTTCACGATCGTAAAAAGCACCCTGGAAAGGTTTTTACGTAGAAAAAGTGCCCGCCGCCCCACCACCCCCCACCACCTTTTCAAGTTGCTATGACATTATGAATTAGTGTTAAATTCGTTTTTTAAGCGCACATGCTCCATTTGTTCAATTTCCAGTGTGTGCATTGTCAAAAAACAATTTGTATCCCATCTTAGATTGTCAGGCCACCGTTTCCTCAACCCTAACCAAAGCAAAGCCTTTACTTCCTTATCAGTGACCCACATCCTGTTTACAACCAAGGCAGTTACGGCTTCTTAGAAAGACCCAGTCATGGACTGTGGTAACCCGCACTGCACCAGTGCGGGTTACACAGTCCATGTAAAGAGGGGAGGGAGGCAGGCAACTCTACTTGCTGGAATCAATGTGTCGAGCGGACGGTTGACCAGCCGCCCTTGGGACACAAGCGTCACTAGTGGAGGCAACAGCTTGGCAGTGGAAATGTGAACAAGCCAAAATATTTGTTTCAATACTTTATTTAAACAAAAACGTGGCTTAGTGTGTCCAATCTATCAAATGCTTATATTCAGGATTCACCCTGTGACTTGTATTTTTAAGTTGTAATTATATAAAGAATTGCAAACATGTTCAGGTATATTTAGCATATTTGCACATTGAGACTTACTGTAGAATGAACAAACAAGTCTTAAGGTATGTAGCACCACTGCTTTACAAGTAATACTATAGAAGTATGCCATTTTTATATTGCACCTCTAAAGGATTATTGTCTTTAAGTTATAACAAGTCGAGATTGGCTGTATTCTTCTCACAGGCTCGTGGTTGTTGGTGGGCATGGCAACAGGAAAAGTATATGAAAAATTAATATGAAAAACAGTGCACAACTAAAGCAGCATTAAAACATTACCTCTTGTCCTGTTCCTTTCAGCTGAACTTTTCCAAAGCAGATAAATGAAGATGAAGCCATCACACAAAGGAGTTTGGCTTAATATCCATGTGTGGTCCACTGTAAGTTTGTCCATGATGTACCAATGTTAAATGATTTTTTAAAAGGTGGAAGGTTTTGTTTCCAAATTAAAAATATATATATAGTGAGGGGGAAGGGGGGGGTAGCATACAAAATATATTTTTCCATGAACTAATCTTGAGATTGCTTTTTTTACCATGTCTTTATATATGTTTTTTTTAAGGCATGGCAACTTGTCATGATAAAAACCATACATGCAATACATTTGTATATGATTGTCTATTATTTACTACAGCATTCATCACTTAATAGTTCATACATTACCCGACTCTGTGAAAATGCAAAATTGGAGTGTAGCACACGTCATGAGGTACGTAATATTTTTTTATTTAAGCGTCTGAAAAAAAAACAAATCATTTGTGCAATGAAACTTCAACTACAGTTTTACAGCATACAAAGCTTCACTGATAGGCCAGTGCCTCTGGTAAGGGGGAGAAGGAGGGGGGGTCCCAGTACACTTACCCCAGACAAACTGTGATTAGTACACCAGGTGAAGCTATACCATACAGAACATAAATCTGCTTAAGTCCTGTGAAAGAAAGCTCCGTCAATGAAAACATCCCAGCTGCAGCTGATGACTGTCCATGGAATGGGTGGAAAATATCCAATGCGTGGAAAGGCCTCCTCCATCCTGGCCTGCTTTGCACAATTCGTTTTTGTTAAGGAATAAAAAGACAGATGAAAGTCCTGCAGCATTATTTCATTAGAGGCACTAATTGACATGAGCTCTCCGATTTCTACAGTACAATGTAGAAAATATAAAATAACCTCAAATAAACCACGTGCATTTGTTACAGTAGTTTTTATTGCTTTCATGACCTGACCTTGTCATTCATTGATCTGGCTTCTAGGGCTATGCTAGTGAATTGAGAAAAATGGCTTGCTTTACTATTCTACAGTATATTCACAAATGTAGGAACTACGGTATTAGTATTTTAGCAGAATTATAGTTTACTAGTCGCAGCAAAACTAAGGCAATGAAAATGACTAAGTCACTTTCACTTTTTAAACATTCACTTTTGCTGGCTTTCTTACATCAATTCGTGCACAGGGTACCAATTAGTAAAAAAAAAAATCACCTTTAATATCAGAATTGTTAAATATTCCATGTCGCGCTCGCGTGCCGTTCATACGGCAGAATCTTCAACATGATTTGTCAAATACCTAAATATTACCACAGCGTGGAAGTGTTTAGAAATGCAGCCGACTGCATTGTAGAACTTGAAATTCATAAACAAAAGCAGGTTTCATAAAATAAAATGAATGTCCCTTTTTCTACATTTTCACTAAAACGGATGATATGTACATGCAAGTCTTTTTTTTTGTACAAGAAAGATTACAAGCAGTGGGTTTTTTTTTAATTGTAGCAGCAAACCTTTACAGAAAAGAGAGGTTAAAAAACAACAGGTTCACTAGACCTGGGCACTTTGGAAAAAGGAGGAAAAAATCTCGATGTGATTTAAAATACAATTAAAAATTGATCCATACTGAGTTTTATTGTCCATTCAATTCTGTATTTTTGTCTTTACTTTGGTGTGCTTGCAAATTTGACAACATAATTCTTCAGTGAACAGGGCTCATCCAAGTAATGGTTCTTCCGTAGATAGAAGTCATGTTGTACCTGCAGCCGTGTGTGCTAGGCTGAAAGATGTTGGGGAAATGCAAAACAAATTTCACGTCTAAAAAACTCCCCAATGGCTGACCCTCATCATTCTGGTTCGTGGGACTTGCGTTGACCAGCTTACTCCACCAATTGCTTTAAAAATTTCGCTTACCTTATCTTCTGGGAAACAGTTTATCACTGTTCACACGTCAGACCTCATTTTCCATATTCACACTACTACACTTGACAACGGCAATTTGTAATTATATTCGGCAAACAATTGTACAAAACAAAGCTGTGTTTGCCTCAGTACCTAACGCCTCTACGAATAATTATTACAATTGCCCATTTGTATAACTTCAGGCCTTGATGCTGCGTCAGTTAAGTGGAAAGCCACCCACAGAGTTCGTCTTCGCGATCATCAGCAACTTCAGGTGATCCAGTACACCACTCTAGCACACCTGAGCATTGCCGTGCACTGCCTGCCTTGAGCTCTCCTCGAGGCAGGGGAGGAGGTATCGAGCCTGTTATCGACTGGCACCGGAGGCAGGGGTTGTCGCGAGCTCATTTCAGAAGGGAAGGTGTCCTTGGTCTGGCCGGTGGTGCGGATGGGTTCGTTTGCGATGGGTCAGGCGTGAGGTCTGTGGCGTTGCCAGTGTGGAGCTACTCCTTGCCGCTGGCGCAGTAGGAGAACTGCGGGAAGTGTGGTCTCCGTTCGTTGTCGAGGGACTCCATGCTGTCAACTGTGCAGAATTAAACGCACGTTAAATCAGGTGCAACACTCAATACAAGTATATTTCATACTAAAGTTTTTTGGGTTAGATCGCGTTATTTATAAATGTGTCGTAACCCTCCACCACCCGACACGGCCAAACAGTAAAAAATGTGTCACGTTTACAAAGGACAAAATAATTCACTTCTTTAGCCCACCAGTGTGTTGAAGAGCGAATCAACAATTAAAAATTTGAGTACGACGTGTTAGGTGGTGGAGGGTTACGACACATTTATAAATAACGCGATCTAACCCAAACACCTTCATGATGAATGATATTGATCGCGAAAGCCTACGTGTTAAACAATTATATTTGTTTGCTTTTATACATAAATAAACTAGCTTTGCAATACATAGAATAAGAGCATAAATGTTTATAACCTTAAGGTAATTATGAGATGACTAAGAGATTTCTAACCCTTGTGGCATTAACAGAGGTACTCACATCTGTCCGGCGGCGTGATCGTGATTGTCTGTGCCGTGAACTCTTCGTCAAAGTAACGCGTATCGGTTTCTGAGGCTACTTGCGGCTTAAAGGGAGGCGTCATCTGGGGGTTGCGAGGTTATTGACAGAAATAAAGTTAAATTAAAACATTTCTACAAATCCAGTCGAAGCTCCACCAAACAGCAACTTTCACTCAATTAAACAAACAGCACCAGACAACAACTACATTGGCAACAACACAGCAAGATGAACTCTTTAAGGAGGCTGGGCTTACCTTTCTGTCATACACATCTTGCCAGATTATTCCAGCAAAGAAACTGTGCCTCATGATCTCCTTGGCATCGTCGACGCCGCCACCCAGTCTGCCACGAGACAACATGTGATATCAAATACGTGCAGTAATCACGAGATATGAACCTGCCTTCAAGTGATAACCTTTAGTTTAATCTCAACTAGTTATGCTCTCAAAGTTCTCACGATCTGACACATTTACAACTGATTTTTGCGTCTAGTTTGTGGTCCTACTCCCGCATCTGATCAGCAGTTGGCTACATATGGTGTGCGAATGAAGTTCAACATACACACACATTCGTGGAGGATTTGGAATAGAATTAAATTATATCCTTGGTTCTTTCGGTAAAGTCACGTAGAAGGGAAATAATAAAAATATAAAACAATAAAAATTTTCACGACGTTTCGACTGCAACACAAGCAATCATCATCAGGTGTGAAATCCACGGCAAGAAAATTTTAAAAAAAGTAGTTTCGACTGCAACACAAGCAATCATCATCAGGTGTGAAATCTACAGCAAGAACATTTTTAAAAAGTAGTTTCGACTGCAACACAAGCAATCATCATCAGGTGTGAAATATACGGCAAGAAAATTAGAAAAAAGTGTTTTTTTTCTAATTTTCTTGCTGTGGATTTCACACCTGATGATGATTGCTTGTGTTGCAGTCGAAACGTCGTGAGAATTTTTGTTTTATATTTTTTTCTTTTATTATTTCCCTTCTACGTGACTTTACCGAAAGAACCAAGAATATGAATCTCTGCAGTCACGAAAGCTTTAAATAAAAATTGACGAAGCTGAGAAAGGACTTTTTTTTTCATAATCTACCTCTGCTTGGGGTCTTTCTTGAGCAGACCGGACAACAGTGCCCTGGCGTCATTGGAGAGAGTGCGTGGGAAGCGAATGTCCTCCATGAGGATGAGCTCAAACAGCTTCTCATGATCCTGGTTGTAAAAGGGCAGGCGCCCACACATCATCTCATACATGACCACACCTAGGCCCCACCAGTCCACCGCCCGCCCATAATCGTTGTCCTCCAGCACCTGTAGGAAGTTGTGGGGTTGAGGTTGTTGGGAGGAAGAAGAGAGAAAGAAAAATATCACAACCACTCTGGGTGCCTGCGAGCTTACACCACTACAGGCAGCATCCTCCTGGACATCAGGACAGGGCGCATCCCTGCTGTTTGAATCTGAAGAGAGGCCTGCCCGCCCAACCGAATTGGCTAAAACTGAGGCAACAGAAACACTCTCCCGGAGTGTGTGAAAGGACACACGTGTTACATGTTAATGCAAAATGAATGTAATATACCATAGCTGGTCTGCATTTCTCACTGTACGCATGAGCTCAAATTGCATTTATAAAACACCAAGAGCTGCATCACATAATTAAATACAGTTGCGTCATTTGTGTAACCAATGTCCATTGCCTGTGGCCAATACTGTTTGCATATTAATGTATTTTTACCAAAAAAAGCCAAAGTCTTGTTCTCGGAAAATTAAGTTAGGTTGTACAAAATGCTTCTGTTCTGCCAGCACCATGACAAAACCCAGACCAGCGTTTTCAAATTGAGAGACCGCTCATAAAAACTTCACATTCAGAAGCTGTAACCCAATTTCAGGCTCACTCTCAAAAGAACCCTCGTGCAAAATTCATGAACAAGGAGCCAACCTCAGTTTCACAACATCAATTAGAAGAAAGACAATGGAATACGGCAGAAGAACGTTGCAAGTTTCCCAAAATTTGACAAGCATTTGGCCATGATGAAAAGGTAACAGCTGGATTCCAAAACATTCCTGGAGGCTGATGGATCAAACATCTGTCACGCTGGAACCCACACAGCCAGAATCCAGCACAACAGCTGTGTAAGCCACCGTTCTCAGGCTAATATTTTGTCCTGCAGCTGCCAGGCTGATGGTGGGAGTGATGTAGCCAGGGAACCTGGTACGTACCTCGGGAGCCAAGTACTCGGGCGTGCCACAGAAGGTCTTCATGGTTGCACCATCCGTGATGCCCTCCTTGCACAGCCCAAAGTCTGCGATTTTGATATGCCCATCTTTGTCCAACATGAGATTTTCAAGCTACGTTGCCAACAAACATAAACACAAGTCATCAACTAGCAAATCGATTTAAGGTCTTCAATCAAACAAGAAATAATTAACAAAACCATAAATAAAATGGCTCAAAGCAAATCATCATAATCGGCAATTCGTAATCCACTGCTGGATGAAGACCCCTCTGCGCTATCGCCTTCCCACACAGTCCTGCGATCCCACAATCCAGCCCACACCTGCACATGAGCTGATCTCATCACTCGTTCTGCGTGGTGGTCATCACCCATTCTGTTGTCTCCTTTGGCTTCCGTTCTGTAACCGCTCTCATCCACGATCATCGTCCCCTTCCCATGACGTGCCCTGCCCAAGCGCCCTCAACTCCTTAGCAGTCAACAACTCTAGCTTGTGTATGTTCTCTGATCCACGTGTACCTAAAACTAGAAAATTGAACTGAACTTTTTATTTGGCCAGGTAAGGTCCACTGAGCGATATAGCTCTCTTTCAGAAGCAACCTGGCCACAAATGATAGCTCAAAGAAGTGGCTTATCGTGTGGAAATTTATAGCAACTAAATACTCTAAAATGCATGATTCTAAATGTGGAGGGAAAAACCAGAGGACACGGAGAAAAAAAATTCAAGCAAACACGGGGAGAACATGCAAACTCCAAATATACAGCAGGCGTCAGGGTTGGGATCAAACCTACGACCTCCTGCATACCAGGTGAGGGAGTTAACATCTCGCTTCCACGGCCCTCTTTCTGTCAGTGCAATTCTAATCATCCATCTCTTCACACTTCTCCGAATGTGACATTTGTAACCTCATCTGATAAATGTAATAAAAAAATGTTTAATGCAAATGAAAATCCATCACGCGAACCCCTGTGACATCCTACCTTTAGGTCCCTGTACACGACATTTTTCTCAGTGTGAAGGTAATCCAACGCAGAGACAATCTCAGCTCCATAAAATCGTGTCCGGTCTTCAGAGAAAACGCGTTCCCGGGATAAGTGGAAAAACAGCTACAAGAAAAGAAGTAACACGGAACGCGAGAGAGCCTTTAAAACGACTTTTGTTCCCTGCAGATTACAAGTCATGTTGAAGATTTACACAAAATGGTTAAAGGAGAAGAGAGGCATTTCTCTGAACGTTTGTATGTGATGCAACTTATAAACATGTACTCGGGAGACTTGTAAAATAGCCAAAACATGTCACAGAAATTATCCTCAAGAAATAATCTTAGGTTAATCATTACATGCTTCAGTCATTCATTAACCAGTGACTACACTATGTAACACGATTTTTGTCCATGGGTAGTAAGTGTTATTTTTTTATTGCTTATGCCTAAAAAGTATAGAAAATGGCTATTCCCACAAACTTTGCTTTTGTGACCAGGACTTTATGTAGAGGAATGACACAAATGCACACGTTTTCTCAATGAAAATAGGTAAAGTTCAAAATATCACTGTCCTGGTCACAAAAGCAAAGTTTGTGGGAAATAATAGCTAGTTTCTGTACGTTTGAGGCATAAGCAATTAGGAAATAACACTACCCAGGGACAAAAAAATGCAAAAAAAATTGTTACACTTATTTCTGACAAGGGTTGTATTAATTAGATGCAGGAAGGTACTTCATATGTCATTTCATGCGAGGCAGACTGTACGGTGTCATGTCGTGCGTGGGTGTATTTACGTTCAAAACTAATATCAGGTGTTGGCTGTGCTTGTTGTTTATATGTAAATCCATCATCGCTGCTCTTTGTTATTTTGGGTTCGCCAGGACACAGTTCATTGCTAAAACAAATGTCTTCGATTACAAAATGACAATTTGTGCTTCTGCTCACATGCCACAGTGTTGTGATCGATAAATCACAACGTCTCTACCCTGGAGAACGGTCACTGTTGTGCACAAGCAGAGTGTGTGAAGAGCCTGCGATCTTACCTCTCCGCCATTGACATATTCCATGACAAAGCACAGCCGATCGTGGGTTTGAAAGGAGTACTTCAGCAGCTGCAAGGCATAAAAACAGCAGTCCGCTTTATTAAGGGGGTTTCCCACAAAAGAAGGTATATTACATTGTTGCTACTCGTTTATTGCAAAGATGTTAATAAAACAGGATAACCTTGGTCATCTTAATTTGCAAAAGTTGCTTCTCGTGTAATTTGTTTTAAAAGAGCTTTTCATGCTGTTCGTGCTGTCCATTGTTTATCAAATGACCTAAGGCTGTGCAATCAACTGCAGATAGATCAAACCACACTGAACAATATCCAGCTGGCCAGACATATGGATCAAGGATGTTTTTTGGCGAATCTTTTTTTTGTTGCGCTCATATCTTGCGATGGGATATTTGTAATTTAATTCCAGTTCTTTCACGTGTCATACCAGTCGCGCATTAACGCACAGAGGCCCCGAACCCGGCGCGGCCAGAGAAACCAAAACCATACTGGACCACCAAACCTGTGGCTTCATTGAGGCAAACAAACGCTGCTTTTGTCCGACAACCCTGCGCTCCTGCCAAATCGCATTAAACACAATTGCCGCGCGCACACTCGCACATTCACCTACACGCACGCGCACACTGGCGTGTACGCATACGTGTAGAAAGACAGGCGCGCGCACACACACACACACCATCACACACACTGGCTCCAGGCCTGACTCAGACGTCTGGCCATGCTGCTGGGCACTCACCGTTAAAAACGGATGCTTTGTAGTTTGTAACACTCTGTTCTCTGTCAGTGTGTGTGCAACCTCATCCTGTTGAGAGTACATAAAGAGAGTGCAGTTAATAAATCATGACTTTTCTTTTCCTTTTAATAAAGACCTTTTCAGACAACAATGGCAGGCAGATAGTTTCCTTTGGAATCCTCTCTCTATTATTTATCACGGGCAAAGGCCTGAATCATGCCCCCCTGCACAAATCCAACAAAAGCAACCGGATCACATCTGCGCACATCTCTGCGCGGTGATCACCTTCCGCAGTCCGCTGCTGAGAAACATCAATACGATGTGTAAAAAAAAAAAGCACGACGTTATTTGCCGCTGGATTATTCTATATATTTTAAAGCCAACAATTTCCTTTTGTGCAGCGAAGGGGATCTTTTATTTTTACTGAACGCTATTTATCTTCACATCCTCTACGATACCGTAATGGGACAACAGGAGCTGTTCTCACCTTTGCGACAATGACTTCTTTCTTCAAGATTTTCATGGCGTAGTACTGGCCGGTCGCCTTCTCGCGTACAAGAATCACCTTTCCGAAGGTGCCCTTCCCCAGCAGTTTTAAATAATCAAAGTTGTTCATGGTCTGTAAACAACCGCATTTATATAAGGTATTAGAAACAAGAGTATAATCATTATCAGCCACTTCTTACCCAACCCCACCCCCATTGTCGTCGATGTGAAGCACTTTTGAGATTTTATCAGCTGTAATTATTTAATTTTGTTACCACTGTAAAAAATATGAAGATGCAAGGCCTTTAGACTGTACACCACTTCAAATCACAGATATGCCGGGGAATCCAAAGAAGCCAATCCGAAGCAGGGAAACGTGCCAAGAAAACTGGGTTTTAACTGGAATAGCATTACTCGTAGACATCTGTTTTAAATAGCAATTTTTTTTTTTAACCTAACAAATTACGCATCAACATGTGCTATGCAATGGCAAATGTAAGCTTGACAAAACCCTCCTGTGTGTAGCGTGTCCTATGACAATCTCAAGGTGCAATCACAAGCTTGTAAGATTCCACAGGTCACTGCACAACGTTGATCAAGCTACCTACATGCCACCAGGTAGAGAAGGGATGCGAAATTGGCAGCGAGGGAGCAGTTGGGCATGGAGAAAATGCTGTTAAATAGTATAAAACCATACATGACACATTCCTAGCAGATCCTTCTACCCCAAACATGTTTGCATAATTGTGCCCTTTCATCTTGTTCAAAATGGCTTTTCCATGTTATTTGTTAAGGCCGCCCCTTCCCTCCGCCCCGACCCGCCACTCCAAAAGTCCATCATCGCAGCAGCTGCACATTCTTCATGCCTCTCCTGACATCAGGTCGGCAGCTTCAACGCCGCCCCCCCTCCCCTACCCAGCTCTGACCCCAAGACAGCTGAACCAAACAGCCCTGGCATTCTTTCCACTTTACAGCACCACAATTTGCCCGCCACACACAAACTACCTTAAATGAACATCTGCTTCCAGTCCAGGCAACAGCAGTCATGAAATTGTGGGTGGTGGGGAGTGGGGGGGGCGAGGTGCAGGGAAGGCACGAGCTTTTTGCTCATCCTTCGCGTAGCTCCTCCCGTGAAGCCCATGAAAAGCGCGATGGTGCGAGAGCCACAAAACGAAGCCAGGATTTTGAGCCCAAGCACCAAAATCTGCTCCGCCCTCCATAAGAAGTGCAATGCGGTGAGAGGCTGCTCTGAGCGTTCAGCGTTGAGGACACGCATCACATTTGTAACTCTTTTGTAGACAATACTCAATAAACAAATTGGCCAAACATTCAAGTCGTTCAGAATCAATGAGGCTTTCTTGGAAAAATGAAAGGTCCGTTTTGATTACACTTCGAATAATAAGTAAAATAATCCCAATTGTGGCTGTTTCGCTCCTGCACGAGAAATTGCGTGACAATTATATTTTAAAATACTTGCCCAATTGCCATTATTCGTAAGAAACGCACGGATTGCACTTTGTTAAAAAGCGTGCACATACTCCCAAGGCTGGCATCGACTGGCCCTTGCACCGCGTTCACAGGGACAAAGCAAGCGTTCCCGGCGCGCACGTTCGCTCGCGCGCGTAAATAAATGAATGAGCGGCCGAGCACTCCTCCCCGTTATTTGTGAACGAACACAATCTGCACGTGGCGCTTCAGTCATCTCCCGTCATTGTGCTCCACACAACCATGGCTGGGGAACGGGGGGGGGGGGGGGGGCAACGTGACCTGCCGCAGACATGCGGACGGAACTTCCCGCGCGCGCGCTGTAATCCAAGCCGCAGCAGTTGTTGGGTGCGCGCACTGGGAAGTGGCGGCTCCAGAGTGGCGCGTTTAAATTTACAGAATCTACAGGAAGAGCTGTCAGGGTGACGCCACGGATGGTGTGCGATCCCCCATGTACGCAGCCGCTAACACTCAAAATACTTTTACTGCCGAGACATGGATCCACTTCGGGCGTGTCTATTTATACAATACAAAATCTGAATCAATGACGCGCCTGAATATAACCGTATGTGAATACCTTTTTTTTATATCTAAATGCAGGATCCCCCTCGATAAGTAGTTTTTGAGAAAGATATGCAGTTCAAGTATTTTCGGAGGGAAGGAATTATTCACCCCTGCAGCATTTTGATTAACTCTCATGATTCAACGAGACTCTTCGAATCAAGCGTAGACCTTTAACGCTGCGGCAAAAGTCAGCGCCTCTGCTGGTTGCAAGGGTCGCATATACTCATTCATACAATATATCCAAATTGATAAACATCGATTCTTCCACATAGGATTTCAAACATCTATCTTAAGCTCAAGAATGTATATTTATCATTGAATTGTTGCATAGTTCCACTCCTACTTCCTTGTATAAGTATGAGACTATTATTATTATACAGAAGCAGAGGGTGGTCAGAGAAAACAAACCTCCGATACTGTGGAGATGAAAATAGAATATGCACTGCGACGGTGATAACACATGGTACAATCGGACAACAAAAGGTGCAAGGACTGACAATCCACATGTCAGGTGCCATCGCACGTGAAATTGTATCTGGGGACACCGCTCAGGAAAACAAAAGCAACGTCTGCGACAATGGCAGCTGTTGTCATGCACCTGAAATAAATTCAGGCCAGCAGCATGCGGGCTGCCTGACGCGCAGCTCACCGAGGTCACTGCCTCAAGTGCGCCGCCCAGTACGCAAAGCGCCATCGCTTACCACTTTGGATTTTGGTTTGCTCAAAATGGTGTCCATCTGCTCCGTGCTGGAACCGTCCTCAGGGGAGCTGGGCTTGCAGTCCATCGTCTCATCTTCTTGCTGTTGCAGGCGGTCGGCCACCGTCTGGATCGCGCGAAGCCATTCCTCCCTGGTAAAGCACGCGACCATACCAACGTGCCATCAGCTGCCGCCTCGTCAGAGTGCACAGCCTATGGCTGCCATCTCCATCCGCTTTGAAGTGAGATACGCAGGGTGCACGCAACCATAATTATAAATTTCCCGTAAACAGAAGGGCTTTTCAAACGTGCGACATATTGTCATTCATGTCATCTGAGATATTGCAACTGCAGTCACGCACGTGTCCTTGGGTAAATATGCCACTCGCTTCATCACACACCCACGACTATTGTGCGCTTATATCCACAGCGCATAGTATGTATTAATTATAACACATGAATTCATTTGAAAAGAAATTGTGTTTTTCTTTTGTTACCAAGACAGCAATGATCACAAAATCCAAAATGGACAAAAACTAAAAATGAACTTAAACAATTGCACGCGTTTATTGGCGATTCTTGGGAAATTCCATGGCTTGGCAGGAGATGTGTGCAGTGTGAGCGACATCAGCGGCGGTAGTCTTGAGCGACAGATGGAGCAAGCGGCTCCTGCTCATACCAGCAGGAGCTGCTTGCTTGAGAACTACCAAAGCGTGACCCGCAACGACACCCACACATTGCCACCACAATAGCCAATTCAACACGACTCGAGCCAAGCGACAAAACCCATCATAAATTAAACCGTACCAGCCCAACACCACACATACACTGCAGGTCCGTCAGCCTAGAGAGACAATCTCGTTTAAGTCACCTCTACTCTACGACGGTCGTGGCAGGAACTGGAGGTACCCAACTCAAGCTTCACGAGGGCCTGTGGTCAGATGTGTTTTCTGGGAAGCCTCACACTAGTTTGCCATCCGTTCACACAACCACAACATTTTTCCAACACACCAGCCACAAATCGCAGAATAGTTTACTCGTGAATGGAAAACAACATTTTGAATTGTTGCCTCTGTTGAGCCTGCCCTGTTCACGCCCTGCAAAGATCCGTATTCACAAAGGTGCTGCACGTACGTAGTACTGTACTGCATGTCGTCTGCCCTTCTTTTGTGACGGTTTTATTACAGCTTTTCTTATATCGATTCAGAACCCAGTGATGGCTTACACACTTTAACATGAACAGCATCCCGGTGATCTTACTTCGTCCCTCAGGCTAAAATAAAAGCATAAAAGTGCAAACGTATATTCAGTGAATGAATAAAAAAAAAACTGCGTTAAAAAAGCCAACAAATCATGAATAAAAAAATAAATAACACAAAAATACATAATGGCAACAGATCAGACACCGAGCTCAGCTCCACGCCTCAGAATTGAGTCTTCGGTCTGCAACATTGCACGCGTTATAAATTGTACTATTATTAAAAATGAGAAACGCCATGAAGCCCATCACGCTCACTCGACCGGGAAGTAATTTACTAAGATGCGCAGGGCTCAGAGGGCACCAGAGTGCAATCTGCCAACTCGAATCCCTTACTGCTGTTGCCAATCAGAACATCAGAGTCCCCCGAATGCACCCACACAACACCTGCTTAACCTGTCGGCAAGGCAGCAAACTGAATGTTTATCTACTGCTTAAGGCCCACAATTAATCAGGTATGGGCTACAGCTCCCTACTTTTTAATGTGGCATAAACAGGAAGTCATTTCAGCACATAGCAGGGACACATATCTCAAAGTGCCATCTGATATTTTACACTCCCATGCGGCCGCCATGTTCCCATAAAAATACCACTCTAGCTTTCTCCAAGGAGAAGAGCGACAAGGTGCATGTATATGCATAGGCAGAGCTACTTTTGTCAAACCCACTGCTGGATGAGGGGCCTCCCCGGGGCGTGCGGGTCGTTGGGGTGAATGTATCTCTATCTATGGGACCTTTTTGCCAGTATCAAAAGTATGGAAAAAAATAAGAATATGCTTTTCCCATTCCTGGCAATAAACGGGTGTTAAGATGTTCAAACTCCAAATCGACACATTTTGCGAGGCATCACAAGTCCGCTTTAACCACACGTACTTGTGGCAAAACATGCAAACAAACATGCTCTGATAATGTTTGCATTGTCTTTGAAACAGATTGGCCTGCACCAGAGACAGCCTTCTTTATGGCCTTTTCTACGTCCCGATGCTCCAAGAAACACACGTCTTGGATGCCCTACATGCCAGCCGCTACCACGCGGCCTCGTCTCACCAGAGAAAAGGCATTCTCTGGTCTCTTGCATTAAAGACGCTTCAGAAACGAGAGCCCGCGAAACTCTTGCTCGCGTCCACGCCGTACACACCAGGCCGGGGGACAAACGACCATGGCGGCACCGTTCACGGCGGCCGAGCGGGCACGAACCTCTCGTGCGGCGTGTCCACGTGGAAGGTCCGCTCTATCACGGTGGTCCACTGCAGGCAGCGGATCATGAATGTGTTGGCTCTCGGCCGCTCTGTCCGCATCAGCTGGCATTCTGCGCACACGCGGGAGCGGGGGGGGGCAGGGAGGGGGGCACAAAGCTGCACGTGAGGGAGGAAATGGTCACGTGGCGTGTACATTATCCGCAGGGCGGCGGAACGTTGTTCGATGACGAGTGGTCTACAACTTCGTGCTGGCTGCTTTAAAAACAAATACTCTTTGGTTGATTTATTGATGGATTTGTTTACGTTCTTTACAAATTAGAAAAATTACAAGTGGTCCGCTGGAAATATGAAGGCATGCATACTTCACACAGGCAACTTCTCCTTGATACAATCGACTACAGCTGGCCTTGGAATAGCCATGCTCTGCACTTCCCTTGGTATCATTTTAAGTTCCAGGTTCCTTCCAAAACATTATCAAAATCCAAGTATGCCTCACATGTGTAAATTTTCTTTCGACACTTAAAATGTTCAGAGCAACACTCCTCACTATATGAAACGGTAAGCCCTCGCTTAACGCATTTTCGCACGGCGCATTTTCGCTATAATGCCGTTCTTGTCCGTTGAGGAACACTTCTCCCACAACGTGGAATCCGCCCGTAACACGGTTCCTGAGCGGTCGACAACTACTTTCTTGAACTGCGCAACCAAACGGTATCATAGAGTATGCGGAATGATACAGTGAGTGGAATGATAAAGTACGTGGCGTATCCTCATCTCAGTTATTTATCCCACCATGGGACGACTACAAGCCGACTTTACAACGCAAATTTGATTCAGTACAGTAATTCCTCGCTTCACGCGGTTTTCACTTCACGCGGCACTTTGAAGGAATGCATTTACCACGCTAAATGAGTAAATGATACATTTAACAAAATAACTAACATGCGTTTATAAAAAAAAATCCATAATGCTCGGGAGTCGGCAACCAAAATAACAGGAGCAACCAATTTTTTTCGAATTCGGTAAAACAATAACTTCATATTTCAAGAGTCGGAATGCACGTGAATAACGTCTCGAAGCAGCAGTCCTTAAAGAGCCGCATGTTGCCCGACCCCTGATCATGCTTAACCCGACTCATTTCGGGCGTTCATGGCGTGTCATATACATATGACTATATGTGGCCTAAAAAAGTAATAAGAGAGGTTGTTGCCGCAGTTCATTACAGTTGAGTGTAAAAATAACTGGTGTAAGAGGAACGTTGGTCAGTATAAGAATGTTAAAAACAACCCCCTCACTCATCCACATTTCTACACTCCAACTCGACAATGGGAAAGTCCATTCCAACACTTGTTGACTCTGCTCGTGGGCCTGAGGCTACTGTTGTTTTGAAGCCAGAGGAATTCCTGGAATTTCTGACAAAGCCGTTAAAGGATTAAACTTAACCCAAACCCCTCCCACCGCCCACTCTAATCCCTCTCTGCGACCCTCCGTGCATTTACCAAGGCATTATCACCAAGCACTTTGATGACAGCAATCACATTCCATAGCCTCTACACAACCTCGAATCCATCCCAATTCTGTTGAGCTAAACCAGCTTCAACTGCTTCTCGAAAGCCACCCAATTAAAAGTGCAAATTTAACGTGAGAAAAATCCTGAGGACTTACGACATGCAAAAAAATGCACCCTTTTTTTGCTCGCACGATTAACCAACGTAAAGTCGTGGCAATTTTAGCTTTATCTCACTGCCACCTGATTTCAACAGACACGAGAAAAAGAAACACACACACACACACTTTCCAGAAACCACGTGACTTCTGCTTTCATTGTGGCCGATGGCTCACGCATGAACAATGCACCCCTACACACAAGCTGGCCCCCACAACCCCCAGGCAGCACTCAAACACAAAGACAAAAATTCCTCCCCCCCCCCCCCCCCCCCGCTATATAGCCTGAACAGACTGTTGGGGCATTTGGTGTTAGCGAGTGGCGCCTATGAAGGCCGGCACGGCACACGAGGGAGTGGGTGGCCAGCACCACGCCTGGCTACCTTTGTCTCCTTCGTGACGATGTTTACACACCCACACCAGCTACTCATTTGAGGTCGAATCGACCGAGTGGAGGCCCAGGACTACTTCAGATATTCGTCACTGGCGTTGGCCGTGAGCGGGAATCGAACTCTAGTAGCCGGGTTCGTAACGCAGTATGCTAACCGCTACCCATTCAAACACACACACACACACGGTAAAAGACAAAAATCCCCCATATTTAAAAACAAAAATCCATTAACAGACTGTTGGGGCAAGTGCTGTTAGCGAGAATTCAAGGCTGGCACAACAGGTGAGGGGTTGGGTGGCCAGAACTATGCTCGGCCACCTTTGGCTCCCCACAATGCTGATGCTTACACAGCCACACAAGGCACTAATTGAAGATTCAGTCGACGTAGGGCAGGCCCAGGACTGGTTAAGATATGCTTCCCCCCTATGTTGGCTGTGAGCGGAAATTTAACTCAGGTCGCCGGGTTCGTAGCGCAGTGCGCTAACCACAACTCCCCACTCCCCACATTCACACAATCACACGTGCGAATGCACACACGCGCTCACACACAATCACGCTCACACACGTACCCACAACACTCTAGACGCACTCACAAACATAAGCAAAGAAAAAAAATACAAAGATCCCCCATATAGCCTTAACAGACTGTTCGGGCAAGTGCTTTGGCAAGGACCGATATGAAGGCCGGCAAAGCACGTGAGAGAGGGTGGGGGGTATGGCCAGCACCACTCCCGGTCGCCTTTGTCTCCCTGGTGGCAATGATTACTCCACGCCGCACCCACGCATACGGCCTGGAACACCTCACAGTTGGAAGCACCACGTGGCATGCCCCGTAGCCCAACACAGCAATGTGCGCAAACAGCCCGCCACAGCAGAGCGTTGCGCTCCCTCTCGTGGGAAATTCCAGAGGTAAGCGACAGAAAGCCGCGTGGTGGATTCAGCTCATGTTAAAAAAAACAAATTATTTTTAAATGCAGTTCGCGCACCGAACGCATCGCGGTGTCGAATGTCAAAACAGTTGTTAATGCAATACAAATATCCCGTGCCGCACGCTCGTCGATGCAGAATGGCACAACCTAAAAACTACATCCTGCTGTAATAAACAAATGTGCCAGAACACTGCTGCGAGCAACGTGAAGGAGCAACCGATTTTATTACCGTGCACAATAAACACCACATCCGCATTGTCAATGCGGCCATACATGGTTAATGCATCGCCACTCGAAGAGTGCGAGGCTCTCTGTAACCAAGGCCCGGCATGGGAATCCGGCCCAACAGCATTGGCAGCTGGGAAACAGCGTTGCTGTTCACACAGCATTACTATTCACATACAGCACTCCGAGAGGCTAATAAAAGGCGGTGAGCGGTGGAGGGCCCCCGTCCCCCAGCGGTCTGCGGGTCTCTTACTTGCAACAGAGAAGTTGTTGAGGGGGTCCTGCTGGTCGGTGTCCTGGGGCTTCTCCTTGTAGCCGATGAAGGATCCATCCGTCTTGAGCAGGAAGTACCGCGGCCGCCATGTCTTTATGTACTCGCCTGCGCGGCGAAGGAGCGAACACACGCGCCAAAGTGAGGAGGGGACACGCGCACAGCCAAACCGCCGCACGGTGATAAAAAAAAAACGTTAACTCAACCGAACTGAGCAGACGACCGGTTTGTCCTGGACAGGTCTGGCGTTAGGTGATGACAGCTCATTTGAAAAATGAGCTCCCCCCCAAAAATGTCATTCGTTTTCTTTAACGGGTCTGTCTCGACGGGGGTTTACGTTAAAACCCCACATTTGTAGGACTCGCTCAGGATGGCGTGCCTTGTGCTACGGTCCTCGTGAATTGTTGCAATTCAGGCTCACAAATTGACTCGAGAATTCACTTTTTCAAATTATTATGAACGTGGCAACAACTGCTGACTGCGAGGGTCAAAAGCTTAAGAAACAATATCAAATTAATGTATTGACGCCTACTAGTTAGCGAGCTCTAGTTGAATGCCAGACAATAGGTTTAGTGTTGTCAGCAGTCAGCGACATCCCTGCATACTGGTACTGCCTCCTCTGAGCAATGCTCGCTTGGTAGAGAATTGAGGTAGACACGCATTAAGTGATGAGCAGGTGGACTAAGAAGCTGACCATAAAAGGTAGTGAACTGAACAACACCCTCAAGTGCGAAATCATTGCAGGTTCAAGTGTTTTGTGTGGACCAGGCGCTCACTCGGTGGCCAACGTTAAACAAACAACGACACACAGTGCAATATATTCCCAGTAGAGAATGAAAGTTGTGTTTCAAAACACAGTTGGTAACCGGCCCCATGGGTTCCCTTAAAAGAAAGCATGAAAGTGCATAAAGTTAATGCTTAGAACAGACTTCACTTTATACGCCACTTTATGACCAAAACCGTTCGCACAGTGGGCTCGAGAGAAAGGGCCTCCAATAATAAAGTGGGCAGTCTGAAGCCAACAAAGTAGCTTTCTTTGTCGATCTTGATGGATGCTAGGGTTGCGAGAATTAGGCGCTCGTCAAGCAGATGCTCCTGCCAGAGGTCAGCTGCGATATAAGGTGTCGAGGCAAAAAGGCCAGAGCGCGGGGGGGGGGGGGGCGACTCACAATGCACGGGAGCACATCAAAATGGCCCCGCCGTCTGGCGGGGCTCTCAACCGCAGTCCACGCTGGGCTGTCAGCGAAACGGTGCCTCGCCGCCAACCCCCACCCCCACCAACCCCCCCACTACCCTCAAAGAAGTGGGGGGGTGGTTGGCAGTGGGAGCCCTGCCCATAAGCAACGAGCAGGATCGCCCCTCCAACGCCCGCCCCGGCGTAGCTCTGTCGAGCATCGTCCGACGACGACGGAGAGATTGCCTGCCGAAGACTGATAAATCCACAACTGCCACATTTTCGCTTCCCACCCCACCACCCTGTCCGGTGCCGAGCCGTGCTGCTGTGCAAGGTCGCGTTGACTGAATGGAGACGTAACGTTAAGCGGCATTGTCTCGTCGCTCGGGCTGCTGCTGCTGCTACCGCAGCTATTCATTTTCACGCATAAATATTGAAATGACCTTTTATCGCGTGCAAGCCGCCTTTGTGTTAAATACGTTATTTATCTAACAGTTTCATTATTATGGCACGATACGGCCTAATATATTACAGCGGCCCTATTATATATATATTTTTTTGTGTGAGACAGGTTTGAGGGCAATTTGCAATTCGCAATTCAACGGACAGTGAAGTCAAAACAAAACCCCATCTTGATGCAGCGATATTAAACAGGACGGATGAAATGTGGTTGTGGTTGAGTAAACTTTCTGAAGAATATATTTTACAGGAGGAGCGATTATCTACAGTAGCATTCCTTTGTAATGCAAGACTTGAAAAATCCCCCTTCACATATACTTTAGTCTACCCTGCAGTTTTGCAAAACAAGAGACTCTACAGTTATTGAAGGGGAGAATAAAATCCAAAATACAGGGCATTTGGTTCGTTCTAAAACTACATTACACGTTTAACTATAATCAATTTGCATTCAAAGTAGGAAATCTAACGATGTAAACGTTTGTTTCTTTGAAACTCCGTTTCTTCCCCGTAAATTCCCAGATGAATCATTTTATTAAAAGCTTGCAAACTTAAATTTTGTAATCGTGGGAATGCCAAAAGTGCACGTGTAAGGCGGGATAGACGGTACTTGTCAACCACAGTCGAAACCTTCCCAACCGCTCATTTTAATCGCGAATGAAAGTGCGAAGAGGTTAAACCGGGTGGTCACATTCCAAGTGCGGCAGCTGCTGCTCCTTCCTGTGAGGCCGTGGAAGGCTGCCATCACGAGCGTACCGACGACACCCGGGGAAGTAATGACGACTCTTGCCCGCTCGGTTCACTCAGTCAGCCGCTCCGTCGCTCACCTCGCTCATTCATTCATACGCTCCTTCGCTAGCTCGCTCATTCACAAGGGGCTTAGCGGCGCACGTGATATAGCAGCACTGAGATCCAGGGATAGGGTCCAGTTGACCTCACGAGGAACGAGCGCGGCCGGATCTCGTGTCCAGCGGATGGAATAGTTTCGGCCAGACTAACGAGTCCATCTCCTCACTCCCTTCTGCCACAGTGATTCGACGATTTTTGTTGCTGTCTCGTTTGTACCATATATCTGTTTCCCATCTCAATCTGTACCATTTTTGTCTCTGTTCGTCTCAACGTAACGTTATTATTTGCATATAATTTGCATGCTTCTTACATAATTTTCCCATAGACGCTTTAATCAACATATCACAAGTATAATAATTTACTTTCATCGGTACATTATTACCAGGTCACCAGTGACCGCACACGGAAGATGCTGCAATTAAGCCAGGGTAATCCTCGTGGAAAAGTTATCCTAACTGCAATAAAAACTAAAAATAATTTTATAAACGTACATTTACGCTGCTACGGGATATCATCATGCTTCATTAATGTTGCACATTCACTTGATTATTTCTTATAAAAGTGATACAATTTTCAATCAGGATAATAAAAATCCACCGGTGTGCCACCAACGGTGCCAGGATCTAAGCCCCAAACGCAATCATCACGAGGCACGTAATGAGTTCACAGGGCTCGTGCTGAAAAACACAACAACAACCACCACCACCACCCACCGCCAACACCACACAACCCATGCAGTGACCTTGTGCGGCTGAAAAGCATACCACTTAGTTCTCAGATCAACAACAAAAAAAACCATCTCGCACGCACGTATTAAGTAAAACCATGTACAGTACACGTAAGTTGATATGTACTTCGCTAGGAATGAAAAGTCCTCTAACACCTACATCTTCTCGTTCAAAGAGGGAGGGGAAACAAAGGTTGTTTACATGGGCGAAGTGGGCACGGCAATTTAATCAGGCAGTGATTATCGACAGCCGCGGGCAAACATGTTTTTGTCCGGAGGAACCATCTGCTCTGGATTGCGCTCAGAAACACCTGCGCCACAGACGCTCCCATTGTGCGAAGGACCATCATCTCACACGAGTGCGCGCCTAGCAAGCCCGCACACGCGCACGAGACAGCTGTTCTCACCGCTGTTCGCCGCTGCCGTGCATGCACGCGCCTACCGCTGCGCGCAAAAAAAAAGTTAATGGGATCTAGTGTCGCCAACGAGCTGAATGGAGTTCAAAAGAACTCACAAACGCCGTGTGAAAGACCCAACGCCGAAGATTCCTGGGTATAATCTTCCACGGAAGCCCACGGTCCACCCGCACAAACCATGGCAGATGCAGATACCCGATGCACAAATGGAACATTAAAAGCTCTCCTGGAGTGTGCGACAACGTATAACGACGCACTGCCCGATCCACAAATGCGAAGGAGACATCACAGCGATACACTCCGCTGCTCCTGACGCAGTTATCTGGCTTAACCACCTAAATGCGAAATTGTAAAGTTGTTGCTCTGTATCTACATCGGCCACACGATAGAAGAGCCGCCGCTGCTGCCGTCGCCGCTGCCACCACGCCAACATTCTTACGAGCGGTGTAGCGATGACACTTCGCTCCGAAAGCAAATGCAGCCTCGGCCAACAGATGTGTTTGTTCAAAGCAACAAGGAAAGGACCCACAAAAAAACCCCAGACTGATATTCATCACGGTCATCTGCGAACAACTCTATAAATTAGTCATAATTTTTTTAAGAAAATTTAATTTCCAAAAAAGAGTGGGCGCACGCGTCGACTTAGTCACAGACCAGGGTGATTTGGCACTTTGATTCAGTGGGGAAATTTCAGTGAAAAGGCCCTAAAAAGGTTGTGTGCAAACAGTTTTTGCTTGGGTTTGGGCTTAGTGAAAATATTTCATTATTTCCCGAGCCTTTATCCATCAGTGATGAAAGCGCCTGCGGCAAAAGCGGAATTTGATGATAAAATACCGAATGCAAATACACACAATCATATTCAAAACTTACGGGGAGCGTAAATGGCACGAGTGTTTCAACCGATGCATCCTAAGTAAGAAAGCTTCAAGGTGTACGTGGGGCCGCGGATGCAACGTAGGAGACACAGGTTTGGGCCTGCCCTGCCGTGTTGCCGACACGTGCGAGTGCGGGCGTGCAACCCTCGCGGGATTCTGTTAGCAAACCGACTAATCAGCTCTCATTAGCCACGGAGTCTTGATGCATTAGTATTCATTATCCATCACTTACTTGGCAATTCGGAAAATCATTTCATGGGCAGTCATCACAGCAAAAATTCATTGCACACCCTCCCCCCCCCCCCGGAAGAGCTGCCCAATATATATACAAATTAGTGCCATCTTCGCTCAATCAAATCGCATTGTTTGCATCGGCCACAGTACTGAGTCGGTTCTTGCGAGGCGGTATGCGTTTGGGGCTAATTGCTTGTGACTTCCACTCAAGGGGGGCGCGTGAGCAGATATTGGCCAATTAGCACAAATACAGGAGAGCCACGCAGCCGTAAAAGCATTGGACAAGTTCTCAGCGTGTCCACGGCATCGTCCCGGTGCTGCAAAGTGCACGGGTCGGACGAAGTGCACGACGATGTGTGCAGGGCGAGGGTGTGCAT